GCCAAGTCCAAGTACTTGGCTGACACCGCTCCCACCAGTGTCCGCAGGTCGAGCTCATACTTCGCGATGAGCTCCGTGACCTTCTCCTGCTTAGGAGGGTCAAACACGGAGTAAATCCTGCTGAGAAACAGGAAGGCTGTCTTCTTGAGCTGGTCGTCGGACATGTCCACCATGCTGCTGCGGAGGTCCCAGCACTTGAAGTCCTGGGCCTTCTTCTTGTCGACGTCCACGCTCTGGTCGGTGCCCTCAGAAGGGTCACCCTTTGGCCTGTCTGTGCTCCCTGAGGAGTCACCTGGCTTGTCTCTGGAACCACTAGAGGGCTCCGGTTTCACCTCGTCCACGGTGATGCCACCAGGCTTCACGGTCACACTGTTGCCGCCTGGCAGTGTGACACCGTTCTCCAGCATCACATCCTTCCAGATCTGCTGGGAAACCCTCACAGCCTCTTCGGCCAGAGGACTGGTCTCTGGGTTGTCCCACTTGCAGTCCTGGCACAGGCCACCGCAAGTGTGACGCCAGTTTGGACCGTCACAGAAGTGATCGATCTCTACGGCCTCGACGTCATACAGGTCGAAAATCGCCCTGTACAACATGTCGCCGTTGGCCACGCTGCGATGCCTTCCGCTCTTGCAGAAGACAAAAACGTAGGCCTCTTCCACCTCGGTCAAGAGCCTGTGCGCTGAGGGAACCACTTCCTTCCACCAGTCGAGCCACTTCGGGTTGGTGGTCATGTGTTGCAGGTTAAGGGGGTATACCCCTAAATGGTCCCTCAACGATTTATTGGACGCCGGATCTCCGGTCGCCCGGCAGTCCACAAACAGGATCTGCTTCGTGTCCAGCTCCTTGACGAAGGGGAAGTTCTCGCGGAGGGAGGTCAGCAGCTTTTGCTCGTGCTCCTCCGAGTCCAGGGTAAAGTCGTAGCTCTTACCCCGCTGGCTGAAGGTCTGGAAGAGGTCGGTCAGCGCCTTGCTCCTCTTGTAGCTCTTCTTCGAAAACTCCAGCTTCTCCAGACCGAAGGTGTAGAAGTGCACCTTCCTGCACTTGCAGCTGCTTGCCTCCGTCGTGCCTCCAGTCATGTAGGCACTCTGGTCGCCCACTTGATGGGTCGACTCCTCTTGCCCGCCCCTTCCAGAGGTCGGCTTTCCCTTCAGGAGCTTGCACGGGCTCCTCGGCCTCAAGGCAAAAGCCCTGTGGTGCCTGTTGGGGTCCTTGCCGAAGCTGCTTATGTTAAGCAGTATGAGGCCGGTCCTCACGTGCCTCGCCACAGGCAACCAGACGTCGGGGTAGTCCTTGAGCGTCACTCGGCCCGCTCTGAGGTCCTTGACCAGCCCGAGCTGCGTCTGGTCCTGCAAGCTAAGGAGGCAGAGAACCTCGTCGTTCTCCAGCTCGCTGGACTCCAGGTCACCGTTCAGGGTGCCTTCTGGCCTCAGTCCCAGCGCAAACGGAAGCTTGTACTTTCCGCTGCACCGGCTAGAGCCTATCCCACGGAAGGCTCCTCCCTCGCTGCTCACCTTCAGGAGCTTCAAGCCGTGTTTGGCGAGGGTGGCCTCCGCGTTCTGCCTCCACTTGCGTCCGTGGCAAGTGGTGTTGCACCCCTCGTCCAACATCACCCAGATGTTGTCGTGGTCCTCTAAGGGATCCACCAGTGGGAGCGTAGGCTCGCTGACCTGCTCTTCGGCATGGTCACTCAGTGCCATGTGTATGTCCCCTGAGGGATCATTACACTCCGTGTGAACGCCCACTGAGGGGTCGTCACTCACTGCTGCGTAGCCACGTCTCTGTGGCGTCCTTCTCGGCGCAGCTGCCGCCGGAGACGCAGCGCCCATGGCCGCCCTCGGTGGCGTCCTAGGCGGGGCCGCGCTTGAGCCAGCAGCGTCGGTGCTCGCGCGTCCTCGCTGCGAGGTGTGAGGGGGCTCTCCGGGAAAACCTACTCCTGCAGCAGACTCTCCCTGTGCCTCTCTACACTCATCTATGAAGTCCTCTAGCACACTAGACAGCTCTGTAGAGGTTACTGCGTCAACCCTACACAAAGGCTTGTCCCAGTACTTGACGAACTTCTTGATGACATCTCCGGCCTCCATCCTAGTGAGCTCTACCTCATCTAGTTGTCTCCTAGTCAAGTCCTGCTGCTTCAAGGACGATGACTTGACTTGTGACGCTAGCTCCTTGCCCATCTTGTGCACTCTCTGTGGAGTCTCCTCCACGATCGTGTCACAGTCAAGGCAGTAAACCTTATGAACGCTTTTTGTGCTGTATCTAAAGTCCACGCGTTCATGCGCGCACTCATGCGTCGCTTTCGTCGGCGTCACCTTTGGTCGTGGCACACTTGTCTTGTGTCCACAGATCATGCACGTGGTTTTCATCACGTGCGCGTTGCTTCCCGCTCTGGAGATAGCACGCTCAGGGCAGCCGCCTCTGCAAGGTTCGTCTGCCTGCTTCATCATGCTAAGCTTCGACTTGGTCTTCCTTCCTGAAAGGATAAGCGACCGTGCCACATCAAGGTCGCAGTCCCTATCGGCAACCGGGCGGTCCTTCTGAACGGGTCTGCCCGCACCAGCAGGTGGCACGTCGAAGTTCTTAAACACCCACCTCAGGTAAGCTTCAAGCTGTGGGCTTGGGTTCTTCTCTGACAAGCCCCAGTGGTAGTAGTCTGGGTGTTCTCGAAGACAGTCCATATAGGTCTGCCCTTTGTGCATGCCGAAGTTGAACTTGATGTCGCCCCCCTCTGGGTAGTCGACATAGCTCCATGCAGAGCTTAGGGCACTATCTGCCTCTAGCTCCTCGTCCGACTCCTCAAAGTCGCCGTCGTCGAAGAACCCCATGTAGGCCACGCGGCCCATGTCGTTCGCGACGCTGAGGTAGCCGAACCGTTCGTCGGAGTCGTCGCTGGTGTCCGAGGCTTTTCGGCCCCAGGTGTCCGTCTGGGTACCTTTCTCCTCGGTGCGCACGACCTGCGCGACGAACGCTGCCGATGCGCCTCCTGACGAAGTCGCTTGCTTTCCGGGACACTCCTTGTCTCCGGCCCAATGCCCCCGGCGCCCGCACACTTTGCAGGTGCTTTTGCTCTTTATTTCTTGTAACTTCTTGCGCCGGTCCTCCACGCTGAGGTTGCTCGGGCGTGGACGGTAGGAGTGAGCCGATTTTGACGTCGGCTTCCCTTTTCCTTTCGCCTTTGACCTGGCCATAAAAGCCATGGTCTCGGCTTGAGCCGCCTCCGTCAGGAGTGCGATCGACTCTCGGTCTTCCGAGTTGAACCCTTCGGTTCCCAGGAAGGCCGTGAGCACATCCAGCTCGACGTCCCTTAGGGATGCGTCGGCCGTCTGCGCTACCAACGCTGTCTCCTCGCCCCAGTCGGCGTAGCTGTCGTCGCCACCTGGGTAAACCCAGTCATTCTCTTGATCGGCGTCGGCGGCATACGCGTCTGCTGTGTAAGCGTAGTCTTCGCCGTCGTCCTCTGTGGCGTCGAACAACTCCTCTACCGCACTGAGGTAGGAGTACTGCGCACCCTTGCGCGCTTTCCCTTTCTTGCCTTTCCCTGAGTAAGGCTTCCCCTTGCCTTTCCCAAAAGGCGAGGGGTTCTTCTTCTCTAGCAGGTGGATGCGCGAATGCATCTTTATCAAAGCCTTCTCACAGTCCTCGGTCTTCACTGATCCCGCCATTGCGGTGATCACCATTATTCTCTCCTGCCGATTGATCCCTGCATTGTCCAGCAGTAGATCTGTCAGGATGCTTTCGCTGATGGACACCGTCTTGTCCAATTGCTTCATCTTCCTCCACCAGCGGCTCCTTCTCGACAGGTACGAGGTCATTGGCTCACCGGCTTGCCGGCTGAGCATGCCTCCTATTTGAGTACCTAACCTGTAAAGCTCTTTGCTCTCTTGCTCCTGCACGGGGAACAGGTTGGTCCTCACCTTCTCTATGACTTTGGGTATATTGTCCTTGGAACCAAGGACTTCTGCACCCAAGTCTTCCGCGGCAATGTATGCCTCGCCCCTTAAGGAGTCGAGGAACTTGGACGCGAGATCCTTCTTCTCGTCGTCCTTGGTCTGGGTCCACCGAGTCATTGCTCGGAACTCCCACTCGTGAAAGTCTCGGACTGTTCCTCCGTAGACTAAGAAACCAAACTTCGTGAGATCTGTCTCCAAATCTGCATGATGCCTGTAAGCCAGGCTCCCGGAGGCCATGGCTCTAGGCTCGGCCGCGATGGGCCGACGGAGTGGCGCAGGGGCTCTACCGAGCTCTGGACCAGGTGTCCGAGAGCTCCGCTACCAGTGCGAGACTGGTCTCATTTTGCCTTCGCCGGCTTGACTCAAAAGGGCCCTCTGCGGTAGAGGGACACGTCTCTGCAAGGCTGCTCTCAAGGTGCACACACTCTATACACGCACCTAAACTAGCACTTTATCACAAATAGTATGCCGAAGGCAATGCTTTACTCGCGACTGTTTGCATGACAACGGAACGAAGCGAAGCCCGATCTACGATCTATCACCTTGCCCAAAACCAGAAAGCCACACAAAGGTACAGCAATGGCTTCAGAACCATCGGTGGCAGCAGTGTGGACTATGCAAGCCCAAATAGTACTGCATAGGAATCCGTACTCTGAATGGGATCCTTCTGTAATGAATCCACCCAGAAAAATCGCCCTTCCGACGGAGGCAGGGCAAGGTCCCCGTTTCGTTCACCTGCTCTCCGTGACGATATTTCCAAGCACCAGCCCCTCCGGAAAAGACACGGCACCTCTTGGGAAACCACTGCTCAAGAAAACGAGCCCCTCAGCCAACCAGCTGTGTGCCAAACTGCAAGTCACCGATGATTTCAAAAACCGATGACATCGAAGAATGACGTTGTCTTTCTCTCATCCTGTGTGCGAGCCCTTCTCGGCTTCATTATCGCACGTTTGAAGAGGCATTCAGCAAGGGCGGCAGCTACTTGAATGATGAATTGAGAAATCGAGGGCAGTTGTTTGTTGGATCTTCCCAGCACCAAACAAGACAAGGCACCACAACTACAGCGCCCTCGGGCGAGTCCTCGCGCACTGTTGATGGCAGCGCGAAATCGTTCTTCCTGGATGACTACTAGTTGCCACCAAGCACAGCACAGCAGCTTAGCATATCCAGCAAGACGGGAACCGGAGCAAAGCAAACACTTCAGTCTGCACGAGACTGATACAGGACATTCCAAGACCACACTCTGTAGCAGCCGCGCAACAAAGTTGTGGAACTCGTAGTACTTGTCATCGAAAGCGTCGTGGATGATGATGTAGTGGAAGACACTGTTGTTGACGACAATGTCGTGGACGACACTGTCGTGGACGACGATGTCGTGGATGAGGAGGTTGTGGAAGACGATGTGGAGGACGTCGACGTGGAAGAAAATGTCGTGGTACTTGATGTCGTCGCCTGAGCCGGAAGACTGCAAGCATGCGACAGCAACGCTCAGTCAGCTGCCTGCCAAAATCTGCCGAAGTAAGCCCATGGCTGTCGTGACAGTGCTTGTCGTATTGGTCACCTGTGGTCACTCACATGCCTTGCTTCTGTTGTTCCGCTGACTTCCGCACATCGGCATTTCCGAAGCACTGCGAGGCCCAGCAAGTTCCCTGCATGCCCCGATCTCGGCAGCCATAGGCAACCAAACCCATGCTGAGACCTATCAATCCGAATCGAATGCGGCAGGATGCGGTTGTGAAGCTCGTGGTCGTGGATGTCACCTAACGACATTCACATTGGATCTGCTGAAGACTTCCAAGCATCCGCATTTCCGCAGTTGTCAAAATGCTTTCGAGAGCCCCCGCGGTGCCTAACCTTGGCAACTAAGACCTGTCTGTCCCCGTTAGCTGCATGCAGCGAGATGCGGTTGCCGAGGCCGTTGTGGTAGATGTCACCTACAGGTGTTCACATAGGATCTGCTGCTGACTTCCATACTGTTACATCGGCATTTCCGAAACTGTCTCAAGTCCAGACAAAGACCACCGTGGGCCAATCCTCCGAAACCAAGCCCCCTGCCCATCCTACTTAGCTGCGGCAGGGATGCGGTTGATGAGGCCGTTGTCGTGGATGTCACCTAAAGCCATACAAGCGGAATTTCCGAAACTACACGCTGCAGGACCTGACATCAACTAAGACCTGTCCATCCTCACTAGCTGCGGCGGGCTGCAATGGTCCAGGTCGTGGTCGTGGACGTCACCTAAAGCAGTTGACATAAGATCCGCCGCTGCTGACTTCCGTACAAGTGGCATCTCCGAAATCGGCCGAGGCCCTGCGGGGCCAACCTTGGCAACTAAGACCTGTCCATCCCAGCTAGCTGCAGCAGGGATGCGGTTGCTGAGGCCGTTGTGGTAGATGTCACCTAAAGCCATTCACATTGGATATGCTGATGACTTCCATACTGTTACATCGGCATTTCCAAAAGGGCCGAGAATATCTGGCCACATTATTTTTCTGCTTCTGCTGCCTTTTTTTTTTTTTTTTTTTTTGGCCCTGGGCCCTGTTACTCTGTTACTCTCGTACTCTTATACTCTATTACTCTATGACTCTATTACTCTATTACCCTATGACTGTATTACTCTATGACTCTATTACTCTATTACCCTATGACTGTATTACTCTCTTACTCTAAAAGCTCTATTCCTCTATTGCTCTAGTACTCTATTAGTCTATTACTCTGTTACTCTATTACTCTATTACTCTATTATTCTATTACTCTATTATTCTATTACTCTATTACTCTATTACTCTATTACTCTATTACTCTATTACTCTATTACTCAAATACTCTATTACTCTATTACTCTATGACGCTATTACTCTTATACTCTTACTCTATTACTCTATTACTCTATTACTCTATTACTCTATTACTCTATTACTCTATTACTCTAATACTCTATTACTCTACTACACCATTAACTCTATTTATTACTCTATTACTCTATCTACTTTATTTCCTCTATGACTCTATGACTCTATTACTCTGCTACTACCTCTACTCCTACTACTACTACTACTACTACGCCCAAAATGCTACGCCCAAAATGGTCGGTGCGCCCAGAACTCCTGTCACTCTCCTGTCGCACTCATCTGCAACATCACAGAGACGTCGCAGCAACAAGGGCTCTGCAGGGTGCCTTTTAAGGTTTGAAGGTTTCCCACCCACCCACTCCTTTTAGGGTTTGAGGGTTTCCCACACACCCACTCCTCTCCTTTTAGGGTTTCAGGGCTTGCGACCCGCCCACTCCTTTTAGGGTATGTGGGTTTGCCATCCAACCACTCCTTTTAGGGTTTAAGGGTTTCCCACCCAACCACTCCTTTTGGGGTTTGAAGGTTTCTCACTCAATCTCCTTTTAGGGTTTGAGGCTTTCCCACTCCTTTTAGGGCTTGAGGGTTTCCCACACACCCACTCCTTTTAGGGTTTGAGGGTTTCCCACCCATCCACTCCTTTTAGGGTTTGAGGGTTTCCCACACACCCACTCCTCTCCTTTTAGGGCTTCAGGGCTTGCGACCCGCCCACTCCTTTTAGGGTATGTGGGTTTGCCATCCAACCACTCCTTTTAGGGTTTGAGGGTTTGCCACCCACCCAAGTCACTTCTTAGGGCCCCCAAACCAGCATCATTGTCATCATCATCATCCCCTAAACCCTAAACCCTGAACCCTAAACAACAAAATCCCCCTGAATACTTAGACTGCCGTCGTCAGCAGCAAAGACCGAGCACAAATTCCAATAGCGCGCACGTAGAATCCTCGAGATTGTCGTCCTTTTAAGACGCGAATTGCTCGTCCGCGTAACTGGGGCAACGATTGCCCTCCTCTGCGCACAGCCCGAATTGTACGCGCCTGCCACTACTGCTACTCGTACTACTAATACTGCTATTGCTACTGTTACTGGCACTGCTCTTTTTTTTTTTTTTTTGCCCTCGGCCCTGTTACTCTATTACTCTAATGTCTATTAGTCTATTACTCTATTACTCTATTACTCTAATACTCTTATACTCTTACTCTATTACTCTATTACTCTATTAGTCTTTACTCTATTACTCTATTACTCTATTACTCTAGTACTCTAGTACTCTACACGCGAAAAACAAGGCCACAGGTGCAAAAAAATAATGGCGACAAAAATACGCCCTCCTTTCCAAAACTGTCTCAAGGCTCGGCATGGAGCCCCACGGTACCCAACCCCGGCCACTAAGCCCTGCCCATCCTGAATCCTAGTTAGCTGCGGCGGGATGCGGTTGATGAGGTTGTCGTGGCTGACCTTGACGGGGGGTGTCTCGTTCATGTACCGGCTCAGGCAGAGACAGTTCAATCTTGCAGCTGCAGTGAACCAGAGGGAAATGCAGATCCGACAAATGAGGCCACAACGTCGAGGAACCTTGGCAACAATCAGATACTCAGATAACTCAGGGCAAGCTGCGACCTTCTTGAGTGCAGCAGCTACCGGCTCTCCATGAGTTTTTCGAGTTTGCTGGCTCCTCCTGCGAGCTCTGCTATGCACTCTCCTACCAGTGCTCGCAAGATCATCTAGGCTTGCGACTGGTCTGATCTGTCTGACTGAGAGCACCATCGCACTTGCCACATCTGTCTGCAGCAGAAGGGCTTGTAGAGGAAAAGGTGAAAGTTGCAGTCTGCGAGGACCTGTCAAGCCAGGCTTTGCTTGCAACCATCTCTGAGCTGTCTAGGTTTCAACACGTCTTGGCAGCTTCCATCACATCCGGAAAATGGGCTCTCCACACAAGGCTCCACACGACACTCATGCACTCTTCTCAGGCACAGCTCCGAGGAGAGGCCCTCTCTCTCAGAGGTCAGAGCCCGGGCTGCTCAATGAGGCCCAGACGAGGTGTTTGTGCCGCTGGTGTTGGTGCCTGTGCTCAGAATGCTCAGAAGCTCCCCTATCTCCTTCCCGGCGGCCTTTGGCTTTGGCCTTTTCCGACTACAGTACGGGGGACTGGGGGAGAGACTGTGCCACGACTCTGATGCTTCCTCTCACTCCCCACCATCACGCGGCCTGGGCCTGGACCTGTCTCTTCGACGAAAGGGCCTCCTGGCCAGCCACAACATGAAGGATTGGGGATTGGGACCGGGCCGCCTTTGCACAGTTTCTTGCAAGCAGGCGGCGAGGGCTGAAAATGGCGTTCTGCGGGAACTTCTCCTGGAATCACCCGGCTCGTGAAGAAACGCGTGCCTAGACTCCTGGACTTCACCCTGCGCTTGCATAGCGCGAAAGACTTAGAGCATCCGCCTCACAAGAGGCAATAGACTTTCACGTGCATCCACTAAGTGCAAAACATCCAAACAAAAGGGAGTGTCCCAGATCTCGTCACCGGATCGCAGGATAGCATCCATGTTCACGTCGTACAGCACCTTAGCAGTCATTTTGCTCATACAGTCGAGGGCAGAACGCCCATCCGGAACGTGGTCGGCTGCGTATACGCTTATCGCAGGACCGGGGACATCTGTCCGAACCCACTCACCACAAAGCTGACTAGGACCTCGATGGTCGTCCAGAGCTTCGATAATGCGGCTCAACCAGCGATTCGACGCCATCCACTGACACCACAGCCAAGGTGCCCAGGATATGTTCGTTCCATTGGTGTCACCTGCTGGGGATCATGCCATGCAGCTGCCATGCAGGAGCACTGAGCACGCAAGACGCCTGCGCTTAAGCAAAGCCCCGCAGGCTCAAATGCCAAGCCGCCGGCCTCTTGGGCTCACACTCAGGCTCCTCAAGTCAACAGTGGGCCGCCATGGGCCGCCGAAGTGGAGACCGAAACACAATCACTCTCCACTCTCTCCAGCTGATCTTAACTGAGAGGCAATATGGCGCTGGGTTCCACGTAGAACTCCTCGAATTTCGCCCTCTCCGAATGACCTCCTCCAGCTCTCAGCGTCGCTCCTCAGGGCTAGCATCACATGGAAGCCCTGTGCTCCATCTCCCCTTCGCCGGGCCTGCCGCCATGAAGGGCTGCTTTGTGGGATACCTCTGCCGGTTCGGGCATAGCATGCCCTCTCTTCTCCGGACCGTGAAGCACCAGCTGAATTGAACAGTCCCCCATTGCCACCAAGGAGCAGCTGATGCCACGAAGAATATGCGATGCCGTGGTCGCCGATGATGTCCTCAGGTTGGAAAATGGTTTTTTGTGAAAACAATTTTACAAGAACCAATTCACAAGCAGCCAACATCGCCTTTGGTCTGCAGGCATTTGGCCATCAGCTCAGGGTTGAACAAGGCTTGATGCCGAAACCGGTACTCGTGAAGCCCCTGTAGCTGAAAATGCCTGCTGGCTCTCCGTGGCTTGACAAGCCTTTCTAGTGAAGTAGCGTTTCAGCGATCATAAGTGACCGCGCACGACTTCAGTTTACATCAGCTCTCCTCGGCCCCTATCGGCCACAGCCAGAGTCCCAGCGCAACCGAAGGCAGCCAAGACACCCACCAGCGTCCGTCGCTGCTGGCGGAGCTGTTGCCTCCCGGGCAGATGGGAGGAGAGCAGCTTTCCTGTTCTCTGCTCTGCCGCGCTCGCTTCTGCTTTGTTCAGCACAGGCAACTATGCACGAAAGCCTGGCGTCACTGTCAGATACCTTGCATCTCACCAGAGGAAACAACGTGATGACGGCAAGCTCATCTTATGATGGCTACGTTGCAGGTGCAAAACTGTTCGGACGCACACGGCTGCAACCCGGAGGTCCGAGGTGCAAAGTTTCGCCGGCAATGCCCTGGAACTCCTGAGAAACCATGTCTTCCTGCCATGTGACGTTGAGCACCACATCACCTGGCAAAGTGACGTGTCAAATAGCTCGTCTCTCATGCATTAAGTTGAAAGCAGATGGCCAGTGTCGGTCAGCGTCTGAAACACCACGCCCCCGAGGAGAACAGACACGGACAAGATGCACTTCAATTCACCAAGGCCACGACCGCTCTCACGCTCGATAAGAAAGTTCTCACCCACCCAACCTCAGCAGCACATGCTTGTTGTGCAGGTGTGCATCACATTGACATGTGAACGTCGACAGCCAGCCTAAACGAGAAAACGAGAACGACAGCGCAGCGAGCACAACTCCCTGCGACCAACAAGCTGCCGAAGGGACCAGGAGACATATGCATCGACACAGGCGATCTTCCTCAGTGGCAAACACCCATCTCAGCAAAACGCAGCAGCAGGTGCAACTAACTCATCCAAGCCAAGTCCAGCATCCGTCGATCATGCTCAACGCCCAAGCATAATCTCTCCAGCTGGCATCGTCATAGCCGTACATAACCAACGTGACTATCCTTCAAGCTGCTGACTTTGGTGTATGAAAACAAAGGCTGTCAAGCGTGAAACTGCCCTCGCGAACGCCATATCTGCAGCATCTGCGACATTGCAAACAAGTGGCGTCTTCGGTGTCCCTGCCGTATTAGCCTGTGTCAGGTTAAGGCCGTGCTATGTCTCTCACATCCTCTCGCTTTCCCAACTGTGTTGACATCCGAGTTTCCCCAGCATCGCACCACTCGAGAGCAATCATCGTCCGCCCCAGGCTCCACACGAAGGAATGCCTGGTGCATGAAGTCTTCTTACCGCACACAGAGACAGAGCTTTCAATGCAGGCCTTCCCCAGCCGGCAATGGACGCATGGTACTCCTGGTACTCGGTCTCCAGCTGCAGGGGGGCAGCTCAACAGCTGAGGAAGACATAGGCACAAGAGGCTGGGACGGAACCTGCCCGTCCGAGACGCGGAGAGAGAAATCCGGCAATTCCACACCGACGAATCCGCCCTGGAGCGTGAGGAAGTAGATGGTCGAACCGAACCTTGGAACTTGGAACCATAGAAACGAGAGGGGACAGAAACACACAGGGCCAATGAGGCCGGGCAGCGTGTCCAAATGAGCCCCCATGAAGTCGCCGACATACGTAAGATTCAGCATCTGCACCGAGGAGGTACCTGAACAAAACAAGGAAATGAACCTGATGTCAACGATCCTCCTCCGAACACGACACCCAAGAGAACAAACTTCGAAGCTTCGAGCTAGCCCACCCCTGTGACCGAAAGATCCCAGCGGACATCTCCGGCCAAGAGGCTGAAGTCGGCGAGTTCGAAGCGCACCGCCCAGCCGAAGACCCCAGGGACGAGGTATCCAAAGCCATCTCAGGAAGCAGAGGTCAGGTGATGCCGGAATTCACTGCTCTGTCTCCAGGGCAGGGCGGTGCCGGCAGAATATCGAGTGCAGACACAACAGGAGGGTGCCAAGAGCGACAGTCGGGAAGAAATCCGCAGGCATGGTCACGTCTTAACCAATGCTGATGCAGATGAAGCGGAAAATGACGGCGCTCACTACTGTACCTTTGCTGCCACGACCAACGACACCCTAAATACCTTTGCTTGTACCGATGGACGTGCCACTCCTTGCAATGCTGGTGCAAGCCTGGATGCTTCTTCAAGACTACCGTTCACTGCTCAGTCTGATGCAAACGCGACTTGCCACACTCTTGCCACACTCATGCGAACGTTCAAAGCCCCTCCTGCGACTGCAAAACCCCGCAGCCGAGAAGAACGCGCCTCGCCGGATGCCGCTGTGGAATCCTGCCAAGTTCCTGGACGCACAAGAAGCATGCACTGTCCCGGGATGTCGAGTCTACAGCCACGGGCTCTTCGCACCACTGAGCTCACAACTGAGCTGTAAGACTGTAAAATGCCCTGCGGCCACGGCTCTCATTGAGGCTGGCAAGGTCCAGGAGCTCCACTTCGAAAGTGTCAACATTGAAGCGCACCTTTCGCTGGCGTGCCAAGCGCGCCCTTTCCCTTTCCAACTGCAGCTTCAGGATACAGGTTTCAGAGCTCTTCAGAGCTCTTCGGGCTCTTTGCTCCGTTAGCCCAGGCACGACCTTGCCCAAGGGGCTTCCATCTCTCGAGGAGTGCGGCACCAAGAAGCCGTATCCGTCCTCAAAGAATCCGCTGGAGAACACCTCTGCTCAGCAACCCCCGGACATCAGCGGCTCAGCAGGGCAAAGCACGGAAGCTCAACACCACATCACAGCACTTTGCCACTTTCGCCATACAACGCCTGCTGCAGGTAGGCCAAGTCACATGAAGATCCGGAGAAGTTTCAGTCAGGTCCACACCTGCACCGGACTTGGCCATGTAAGGAGCTCAATGTCTTCGTCACACATCTGCCAAATCAAACATGGTTACAAAGGGCCATGCTCCCGTTCTCCCAGCTCCGTTCGGCAAAGAAGCTTCCGCTGAATGTGAGGTCATCCGCTCGCAGCCGTGGAATTCGACCAAAGTACGCAGGCACCTTGGAGGGTTTGATCACGCACAGGAGGATGACACGTGATCGGGATGACACGACCTTCCAGTTCCACTCTGCCGCAAAGGCACCAAGAATGCCCAAGCCTTGGCGGCGAAGCCACCAGCGAAGTTGGCCAGCTCCGCAGAGTGGTTCAGAAGATTCCTTTCAAGAGACGAAGAAGGTCATACAACGTGCACATCTTGCCATAGAGAAAAAGAGGGAGAGGGACAGAGCTCAGAGACAGGGAGAGGGAGAGAGAGACAGAGAGGGAGGGAGAGAGAGAGAGAGAGAGAGAGAGGGAGGGAGAGGGAGAGGAGAGAAGAGAAGAGAGACCCCTCCGCCCTCCGCCCGGGCTCAAAGAAATCGTGCTCTCCGTGTTGGACACGTTGAAGCCCGTCACCCAGCCTGCCCCAGAAATGTGCAGGTCGCGAGGACATCGCAGAAGAAGCCCCGGCTGTTACTGGGCTGCCCGGCTAGAGTTTCGGGGAACAAGCACCGCCAGATCTTGGACGCCGAAGCCAGCCCGGAACCCGCTGAAGAGCCCACCCTGCCACATCAGGTCGCCGCATGTCGCGACAGGTGGATGGCTGACGATCTGCAGACCCTGGCCTGTGCCAGGTCCACGGCCGTGAAGTTAGTCGGCGGGGCTATCCCCTTTCCTGTTGAACTGATCACGCCGGGGGCGACTGCATGCTGGGCACAGACTGCACAGATTGCACACTGCACCAGTCGGGATGCAGGCCGAAATCATGCGTCCAGCCAAGTAGCGGACCACCACTGCAGTGTCCTCCACACACTATCGCCAGCACACACGCATAACACAAACAAATGTAGCCGACAAACACCACTGAAAACGGGTCACCCTGCGGCCATCTTGGCAACCCCGACTCATCCTCGGAGAAGATGTTCGTGGATACCGCATCTGTGAACAAGCCGGAAGGCCCCCAAATAACCAGAAGTCTCGAGATATCATCCTCGCATCACACGCATGACTGCGGAAGGTCTCACGGGACGTGAGACTCAAGCCTCGGCATCGTAGAGGTAGCGCGAGTAGCTTAGATTGCCCTGGCGAGCACAAGCAGTGGGGCATCGTGAGCGGACCGGTGATCCAGCGAAACTCTAACGAACTTCCTAGAGTCCTAGAGGTTCCGCCCCCGCTGCCTGGCGGCACTCGCTAGCATTCGTTTCAACCGCGTCTGCAGAAGCTGTTGTCGTGGATGATGTGACCGTTGCCGCAATTCCGGTGTGAGTAGCAGTTGCTGTCGTCGATGTCGTCCATGTCGTTGTCGTTGGGTCCGGCCCTGTTCCTGTGGAGGTTGACCTGCCAAAGTCTGAGAGCTCATGGCACCAATCGGCCTACGCAGTTCTGTCTGAAGCTTCGCAGGGGCAACGTCTCAAAGAAGGTTGATGTCGACGAGAAAAACGTCACGGAGGTCGACCTGCCATGTCGACAGCTCGTGCGACGAAGCTGAGGGCTGAAGGTTGGAAAAGCAGTGCAGGGGTGGCGTTTCGCTCGCTGTCGTCCTGTCATACGAACATCAGCACGCAACGCCCTGTGAGGGGCCGCACGTGGTTGCTCATGGAAGCTTCGCCGGGCCGACATCTCCGAGAGCTCCTGCAGGCTCGCATGTGCAGCACTGGGTGATGCAACGAATTCTGGCTCCTTCGGACACTTGCGGTAGAAGCTTCGATAATCGCTGCTGGATCCCAAGTAGACGTCCGGAGCAGTCAGTGCGAAGCTGTTGAAGCCTGGGACCGGGAGCATTCTGCCAACTTGGGCTTCGGAAACCACCCGAACCACCCGATAGTTGCTAGGACTCTGGTCCCAACAAAGCAGGCAAACTGCCTGTGGCATCCCTGCGGCCAGGAAACCGTATGCACCAGTGTTGCTCGCATCGATGACCGTGAACAGATTTTCTTGCCAATTGAATTGCACTAGTTTGGCAGAGCTGTCCTTGCCAGGAGCAAAGACTTCCGCAACTCTCCGAAGTCTTGTCGACATCTGTCGAACCCAAACGTTTTAGCCATCGACGGTTGTCGAATAACTTGCCTGGTCCCTCTACAATGTCCCAGGATAACTCTCGTAAGCAGCCTTGCGGGACATCGTCCTGTATGGAAAAACTGGGAGTACGTGCAGCTCGCATGGCAACTACTCTTCCGAAATGTTCCGTCTGCCAGAGACTGAGCCAGGGCACCGAGGCCAAGTATCCGTAGGTCCCATCGTGGGCGCCGTGCGAAAACCCGGAGAAACTCGCAGGGGGCAGGTGCAGAGCAAGGATTCGGCGAAAGCTGCGACCATCTCTGTCCTGTGTTCGCTGAAGTCCTTCTCTTCCAGGAACGCCATGGTCCCCAGGGCGTAGCGGATGACTTTTGGAGTCATGCTGCACAGAGCAAACCCAGAGTAGCCTCGGTTCTTCACGGGACGGGGCACCATTCTCTGTCGAAGGAGGCTAAACGCCTGGCCTTCGAAATTCTCGGAGAAGGTGGCAGAAAATGCGACGTAGTCGGACGACACGTTCGACAAGTCGAGGACTGAGTCCTCGCAGCCCAAAGCAGGCAAACAGCCCGAAACTCCCCACCACGGACCAGGAGCTTCGTTGCAGGCGTGTGTCAACAGAGAAGGAGCTGAGACTAATCTTCACGATCTTGCCAGTGTTTTGGTACGAGGCATCTTGGTAGGAGGCCAGGAAAGCGAAGGAGGCATCGAGTTCCTTACGCGAGAGCTGCGGAGCGGAGGCAGAACGTCGGCTTGGGAGATGGACATAAGTCTGAGACCTTTGCCCCTAACATCCTGACTTCTCTGCAGAGCGGCGACGAAACCTGGTCGCAGGTTTGCCAGGTCGGCATCTGTGCTCGTCAGGTTCAAGTACGTCACGCTGCCTGCAGAGTTTTGGGGCGCCGGTGATCTTCCCTCACTGCCCTCAAAATTTCTTTCCTGCACCCAAGTGGCTCCAATCATCGATACGTACGAACTGGCCTGACTCCTGATGCTGCAGCTGTCACACCTAAACTACGTCTTCGCGCTTACAGTTTCCGGTCCTGAGGCACCAGATAAAGGCTGCTGCCAACTAGAAAGCCGCCGGAAAAGCCTGTCAGGCGCGGGTCGACCTGCAAGCGGCTCTTGGCCAAGCTTCGAAGCGACAAAAGGAGGAGGTGGGGGCGCCGGCTACTTACAGCGGCGCAGTCCGCCTGGGCCAGGTCTTGCACCTCCGCTGCAGAACCCGCGAAGCTGGCCTCGGTAGTTTCGGTGACTCAGATACTAGAAGCCTTCTGCATCAACCCGCGAAGAGAGCGACTGCAGCAAGGCGGCCAGATCAAAGCGAACCACCTGAGAGCCGCCGCTTCCGGGAATCAAGTATCCTCGAGACGTTGAACTCTGACATGCTGGCTTGCAATTCTTGGAGTCTGGAGCTCCCGAAACACAGTCCAAGAGGCCAAAGGCGCCGTCAGTCAGGCCGGCTGAGTAAGTGTAGGTCTGGAGGCCAACTTAGATTCAAGATCGCATCCCCATCCGCCGTCTACAGTATCTGCATGACACTGGGACTGAAAGCGCACGAGAGCGAAGGTGAACAGTAAGTTACCCGGTTTTAAAGGAGAGGAGTAGGGGAGGGGTCTCTCAAAAAACTAAGTGTTGGAGCAACAACGTCGTGTGGAGCCTGCCAGATACCCGATGCCCTGGCTCAAGCCGTAGGGAGTGTCCCGCGAACCCCTCGACTTCGGGTTTACCTTACCCACGGCAAACGACCGAAGCCCATCCCCCACCTCACCCCGTAAATCCCACGTCATAACATGCGTAGCGAATGCTACCAAAATGCAAAAGTCTCCAATTTAACAGGGTGGCTATCACCCGGCTCGTTTCGGGCTAGCTGGCAGTATGATAAACATTGAAACGGCTTGGCTTCCGTGTTACGCTGCGGCACTGCAAGTTCGACACGAAGTACGGGACTGATTCCCTCAATGAGGCTGCAAGCTTAAAAGCGAAAGAGAGAGTGGGCTCCGCTGGCCACGAGCAGACCATCTTACTACACCCCGACTCAACGACGCCTAGTTTTGCGGTCGAGGTTACGACTGGAGAGGTCCAGCTTCTGATAGATCTGAAAAGTCGCCAAGTCGAAGCGGTGCACCTGCCACAGCGGTCCTAGACGGTGGGCGTGGCCACTTCTCTGGGGTTCCCCCCCCTACCTCGAGAAAGGACATCGGTAACGTGTACAGGTAGAGGCCATCACTGAAGACCTGGACAGCTGACCAGGCTCCGCGAACGGGCATGAAGGAGTTCCGAATGAGGCCGCGTGGCACCACCGATGCTGGACACGGACATCGGGAGCACATCGCTGTAGTTCCTGGGCTTCCATTGCTCCAGACAAGAAGTCGTAGCCATGCCAAGACATGCCAAGACTGCAGCAAAGGGACTGCAATTCCTGGCCCTCCTGGCAAGGAGCCCGATCCACTTGCACGAAGGGCCTGGGAAGGAGCGCAAGGTCACAGGGTTTCAGCCCTTCTGAGCACGCTCTGCTCAAAAAGGGAGGAAGTGCAAGGTCCTTTCTTCCAAGCCGAGGTGCTCGTCCTACCGAGACACATGTTTCACAGCGGCAAGGCAGGAGCTTCAATGAACTGAGCAACAGATGGGTCAATTGTTGATCCCTGTCGGCTCCTCGCAATAGCGGATGAACTGCCGATAATCTTGGCTGTGAGGACGTCTGTTACAGACGTCCACCACTCGAGATCGCAAGCAACAAAGCCCCCGACTGCTTGGCATCTTGTATGTGGACTGAATCTGAAAATTGGAGACAGGTGGCCTGACGAAGACAGGGCATAGAACTGGCCCTGCACCATGACCATGTCGTACAAGGTGGACTGCAAGTCCTGCTCTCAAACACGGCTCGGGCACTGCAGACAGCGCACGGAGTCTGCAGGATGCCTGAGTGGCGACAGCTGAGAGCTGGCCGAGGTTGAACTTGAAGACGTTGCCGCTCTCTGAGGCCTTAGCCCCAAACGGCACAACAGACTTGCCATGAAGCTCCACTTCACCGGCCCGAGCTGCCACGAAGCCGCTGTGACCCCTCTGGAAACCGGCCACATAGCTGGTGCCTATCAGAGGTAGTAACCACACAGGAAGAGAGCAATGCAGACTCCAGGCGAGCCTGCCGCAGATGCATCCAGGTACTGCACGGTGTCGGAGTCGAAGCTTCCGAGGGAGAATCGAGCGATTATTCCGTGTTGGCCAGGAACCAGATAACCTTGAGCCGATTGCAACCGATTGGGCTACATGGGGTCCACGTTGAGATCTCGTATGCCATGAGGACGGGACCGTATGTGCCGTCGTGGAAGCCGTCGTTGAACGCCTGCTCTTGGGCTGCGCTGTGCTTTGCCGTGGGGCCCCTGAGGCCCTGGTTGTGCCGCTCACTTTCTGAGGGTCTCCAAGCACTCGGCCACAGCATTGGAATTCGATGCTGCAACATCGAGGACTTCTACGGTGCTGAAAGTCTCCTGAGCTGGGCTTCAAGTTTTCTTTGCGAAGCTCTTCGTGAGATGTTCGCCGAGTGGCGAGGTCAAAACGCACGACCTTCCCGGACGCAGAGTTCGAACTCGTCTGATAAGGCACCAGGTATCCCCAGGTGCCTCAGACCGGTGCGAAGAAGCCTTTGACCGCTGAACCAAGCTTCAATTTGGAAGTGCTGCCAGGCAACCGTCGGAGAACCCATTCCTGAACTTCCGCAGTTCCTGGGATCTCAGATGCAAACAGACTTCTAGTGACGCCCACGCGAAGATCTAGAAAGCTCTCACAAGTCCCAGTTGCATTCTGTATCGCAGTGATATCTAGCACCTGAATATCTCCGAAACTGGCTCCAAGCTGGAAGCGGACAACTCGGCCATACTCTCCAGGAACCTCAGCGCGACAAACATCAGCCCAGGTAGCCTGTTGAGTCTGCATAGTCGCGGTCGGTCGGATGCTCTTAGTGACCTCGCAGACACGGCACAAGGTAGCCGTAGGTGTCGTCATGGAAGCCACCATAGAAGCTTTGCCTGCGGTTTCACCAACTTTGGAGATCTATGAGTGAGGCGTCAAGCAGGGTTTACGGCTGCGATCAACTTCGGTTGAAAAGCTCAGAAACCTCTGGAATAGATTCAACGGTCGCCACATCTTCCACCACGCATGCTGACAAGCCAAGCGTCAGGTTCGGATCAAACAACGACAGGTCGGAGCTCTCCACAAACCTGGGCCCGCTCGTAGACAAGGCTGGAGGGCACAGAGAACCCCAAGATGACGCCAAGAAACGAGGGATGCCACTCGAGCAAGTCGATACGGAGGAGCAGCTTGTTGCCAGAACCAGGGACGAGGTATGCATAGTTTCCATGGGCGAAGCCTGCAGGGCATTGGACAAAGACTGGGACCCGACCCCCGACCCTGGACAAGGCAGCTCAGGCTCCAGTGCCTCCTTTGTACGCCTGGCTGGTGGGCAGGTCGACGTAGGACACCGTATTCTGCCGGTCCTGAGTGAGGCTACAGAGGCTGCAGGTCAGTCGCAGTGAGCCTCAAGGTCGATTTTGGGAAGGGCTGCTTCACGCCTTCAGGCTCGGACTCAAGACAGAACAAACACGCAGACCGCTAGCTCAGATTCAAGAGCTTCCGTGAGAGACCACGAGCCCTGTGCAAGCCAAGCCGAGACAGATCAAGCCCCATGCCTAACAATCTTCATGGTCAGGCTGATAGCGTAGCAAATTCGCACCGAAGCTTGCTGAAGCCAGGGAGCATAGCGAAACAGCACGGAACGTTGATGCGGCACCAGGTAGATGTGTGTGCCGTCGGAAAAACCACCTCAGACATCGTCTCAACAAATCCCACCTTGGGCATTCAGCAGTCAATGCCAACCGATGTCGAGACCACTGCCGAGTTGCTGTTCAGTCCCGTGTAGTCATTGTTCGAAAATGCAATAGTCTTCACGGAAACCTGGGCCAGCAAAGCCCAACAGTGGATCACTTCAGCTTCCCTCGTGTTGCCTTTCTTGGCGCACTTGGACAGTCCAGAGAATCGCCGACAAGACACGCCGCTGCAGTAATCCGGCGGCCTCGGCTGAAAGCTCTGAGCTCGGCAACTAACTTTGATCTAGCGAACTGAGCGGATTGTGTCCGCAAGCCAAATGAACCCTTGAAGCATCACTTCATCGGAGTGATAAAAACCCAAGCATCTTCCGGCCACCCTCTGGTGCAGACAAGCTTCAGATAGTCCTTCGCACAGGCAGGACTCGTAGAAAACCCTTGAGCCACCACTACTACATACCTCTTGTCAGTAATTTACGGCCCGTTCAAACCCCTAGCCCATTCTCCTGGCACACCCGAAATAGCTTCTTGTAGTCGGTGTTCGTGAACAGGAGAACATCTGAGTTGCTGGAAGTTGCTGCGTAGAAACCATATACCTGTGCATCAAGCAGAGGGAACAGAAGCGGCTAGGTCCTCCTATGCGCAAGGACCACAGGAGCCCATCTTACAGCTGCCGTGCTTTGGGACATCTACTGCGGCCGAACTAAATGATGAAGGCAACCTCACCACTGTACGTTCAAGAATCTCCGAGCTTTAGCCCTCATCACGACCAGCTCCAGCTCCGTGTCACTTGTCACTACATACGTTCTCAACTGTCAAAAATAAAGTCAGCACCATCCCCGCAGTCCGAGTCCCACGCCATGGAGTCGACCTCCGGGTGCAACATCTAACATGTTCTTATCAGACATATTGCATAGGCACGGCTTGCTCTCAGACGTTTCGCAGGGATTTGGGACTCCGATCCCTGGTTTGCAACGATCAATAAGGGTCACCCAGACTCTCACAACAAACACAGAGTTGTACTGGCCTGGCTGACATCCACAGTGTCGGTGACTGTTGCACTTTGGAGATCCAGCTTTGAGATCGTGCTGGAATGCTTCTGCACCAAGTACGCCGAGTTTGTGCCTGCAAAGCCTGAGGCAGAAAAGACGCGAAGATCGAAACCTCGTCGGTAGAACACGGCCTTCAGACTAGGCTGAAAGCTTCGCGACTTCTCTTGACAGCATCCCCTGGCGTCCCTTCTCGCTGTCTATCTCGGTCTCGCCTGCTAGGCCATCGTAGGACGACGTCGCCACAGCCTGTTCTTTCCGCAAGATCTGCAAGATGAAAAGCAAAAACAGTAAGCCAAACAATTACCGACGTGATCTGCCAAGGCTGGCACCACCCAAACCAAAGCCTCTGGAGAAGATTCCCAAAGACTGCCGAATGAAGAGAAGGCGAAGCGAGCCAGGTGCTGGCCAGAAGTGCCTCCAACAGTTTATAGATCGATTGACATCCTTCTTCATGTCCCATCTGCCAACCCATGAGGATACAAAGGCTCTTGCAAGGCTTATGACGACCATGCCTGGCAGCATGTACACGTAGGTTCCGTCTGTGAACCCATCGCTGAAGCCCTGGCCCCAACCTGAAGCAACGAATGCGTGAGACAGAGAGAGAGAGAGAGAGAGAGAGAGAGAGAGCGTGAGAGCACGAGAGTGGGGAACGAGGGCAAGGGCTGCTGTCTTTCCGCGGATCAATACCGACTCAATCACGGCCTCCGCAGTAAGTGTTGCCATCTCCTGCGTCTGCCCAGCCTGGGCTTGGGTTTTTGAACACAGTCCCAGCATTGAAACCATACTGAAGCGCAAGGCTTATCACGGGACTCAAAGAAGCTTCAAGGCCTTACGAGCTAGACAAATGTCACAACTCCCAAAGCCCGCCCATGTGCCTGAGATGTCCCACACTGTCAGGGAAGAAGGGAAGCTTGACTCGAGATTCAGCTTCGCCACCTGCGCAACGTGTGCAAAGCACATCAAAGTGGTAAGGTAATCGATGGAGGGCACGATGTTGAGAGAATTGCTTGACGTCTCCGGACTCGGACAACTGCAATCTGACCCTTCCCACAGAGCCTTGCACACGCCGTTGCTGGTTTCAGGGTTGTCGTGCAGCACCATGTACGCGTCCGCACCTCTGCTGGATGCGTCTCCATGCCAGCTTGATCGATGTGAGAGCTTCAGTGGGCCCTCCACCCTCCGACTGCGGTTTGGAGCACACCTCATCTGTTTTATTTACGAATGCATGCTTAGCCAAGTGACCGTGCAAGACTGCTCTTCTAAAGGACCTGAGCACAAGCAGACACGAAGCCTGCTGGTCTCAAGCGGATGCAGATGTCTGCGTGTGCACAGTGAGCCCAAGCGTCTGCAATTCCGGATCCACACTAGTAAGATCGAAGAACTCCGCCGTGGTAAAGTTCGCAAAGCTGAATCTTGGAAGCACACCTGCACGGCCCGAAGCGACTTCCGGGCTCGTCGCCTCTGCTCTCGATTACCGGCCGAGGCAAGCTTTGGGCATGCTGAACTGCGACTTTCCGTGTCGAGGATAGAACACGGTCGGGTAAAGGGCTGCGGGCATCGATTGGGAGACTCCTGATCTTCGGATGCTTTCGTGTGAACGTCGACACAGACAGTTTCGAGATCGCTCATGTGATGGCTTGCTTTGTGACTCTAGTGCAATCGCGGGCGCCCTTTCCGTTGGGAAGGAGATAGCCGTCCCCTCCGTACATGAAGCCACCTGGGCTACAAACACCAAACACCGGCTCGTGGTGAGGTATTCATGGAAATCGCTCGGGGCCAAGCCCCACCAATTGACTACGTTGGCAGCATCGCCATCCTCGGAGTGGAGAACATGCCATAGCCACGCATTCAGTGGCGAACTGAACACAGGCCGCGTCGAGGAACCCAGGAGTCCGCCAGGTTCAACGAATCGACGAAAGTGAACGTCTCCAGCCGAAATCGAAGGACGGTCTAAGTAATTCCGTGACACACGACTAGAGTCGGCACTTGCAGCACCACACACTTCGGGCCGGGCTGCGGCATGGTTCGTCGAAGGCAACAGATAACCGTAGTTGCCATCCACGAAACCTAGGTCCCAGAGAGCTCACGACTGTCTGTAAAATCCAGGAAGTGGTACAACAGGATTAGGAATCAAAAGTGAAGGGTTTCGAGAAGCAAGCTGTTCAGGACCCTTGCAGAAAAGACACCTCCGAAGTAGCCATCGTTCTGGACACCCTGCGGCACATACAAGACATCAGCGATTGGGGAAACCTCTTACGATCTCTTACGCCTTACGAAGGGCAGCCTGGGGTAGCGTCATCTGCTGGCTTGGAAGCAGGCCCGCGCTGTCAAGAAGAAGCTCCGAGCGGAAGAGCCCGAGCCTGAACAGAGGCGGCGTGCCCAGGATTTGCAAGTCCTTCCATGAATACCACTTTGCATCATAGCTGCACGTCGCGGAAGAAATAAACGTACTTGTCGTCCGTAAAGGCACTTGTGAAGCTTGAATAATCGAACTCGGTTGGCTCTTCCATCGTGTAGGCGGACACCTCTCACGGAGGCAGACTTCTGGCTCTTGCACAGCCGCGGTGGCGCGGTGCAGACGAAGGTCGCCTCCTGCTGGCAGGCAGCTCGGAGGGTGTGCTGCCGGTGCCTCGGTGAGGCTCGCCATGGCGCAAAATGCCAGGCCGAGACCAGCTTCTGGTGGCACAGAAGCACCATGCTAGAAAGACCCTGCTTCTGTCCGAGTATGTCCGAGTCACCTCCAGTCCTGCCAGAACATCTAAGACTGTGCTGAGCATGAATTTGTCAACATAATCGCAGGCTTGCGAGGACACTCAAATGCATGGTCAGAAGGCAGGTGCGGAGGAGCTAAACTTAGCTTCACATGCCCTCTGAACCGTCCAGTCCTGGCAAATCCTGTCGAAAGTCGCAGTTCCTGCGGAAGTTCCCGTGCGTCGAATGATGATCCTGCCACCGGCCATCACAGCGGGGCGAGGGACATCAGAGCCGCCGTTTACATCGAAGACATCGTCAGCACTGAAGGTGGCCAGGTCCACATGCACCTTGGCACATGGCTCGTCATCATGCCCTGTTGACCAGGGTTATGGGAAGGCACACCGCATCAAAGTGCGAGAAACGCGCGACAGCCCAGAAAGACGGCAGAGGCTGCGGCAACTTTGCCGTCTTTCGCCAAGACGTATGCATAGTCACCCACCTCCACCGTCAAGACTTGAGGCAAATACGATTCGGCAGCGATAGATTGAAGCAAAGACTCGCCCACCTTCAAAGCTCCACTAATCTCGTTGCCGGAGAGCTCTCCAGATCTTTGCAACAAAGACAAGGGTTCGGATGATGAAACCACCATGTGTTGCAACTCAAACCGACCGCGCTGATGAGGCAAGCGGCAAAGACAATGCTTCATCATCACCGAATATATCCAACCTGGCATTGACCCGACGACAAAGCTCCAAACATGCGAACTGCCTGCGGACAAGCTACTGTATACTATGACCTGGTTTCCTTGTGCCACTTCTCCACCTGGATACGTTACGACGACGTCCGGTTGAGAAAATGCTTTGAACCACTTCACAACCCCCCAAAGCTTTTCGCAGGGCTGCAAGCCTACACATGCAAGTCTTTAGAGTGCGCTGCTTTCACTCCCAGCGCAAGATGAGATCTCAATTGTTTCCCCAGACAGCGGGCCTGAAAAGAATCGTTAAATCGAAAGCTGATGTGTCAGTCATCCAACCCTTAAAACAAGGACGGCATACCTGAATCGAACGAGTTCTTCACCTTAGGGTCTGCAGCATCAAACGAACTGCACACACATGTCACAAGTAAGTTGATCGTATTGCGGAAACTTGCAAACCGCACAGGGCGGATGATTTGGTCTAAAACTGAGCACACCACTGGTTTTGCCAACCAGGTAGCCATATCTTCCATCCTGCGATGTACATGCCAAGAGTGCTGAATGACATGGTTTCCGTCATCGGCGCAAGGAAATCCATGGCGAGGCCGAAACAACACCATGCCACAGTCCTGAAACCCAGCAATGAAGCCGCCAGATGTGGACAGCTGGAGAATTTCCTCGTAGCTCAACTCATCCGTGGTTTCAACTTGCATGAAAGTACTTCTTATCCAACACTTTTGACAGGCAAGCCTCAAATTAACCATCACCAACATCACATGCCTCCTAGCCTTCCGCCACAAGCCTGTAGGGCTATGTAAATTCGACAAGGTCGCCACATCTTGTGTAGAGAAAGCTGCCAGCTTGAAGCGGACCACCTTGCTGCTCGGGGCATTGGCATTGTCCTGCATGGAACACTGCGACGAATACAGCTTGCATAAGAATCCTCGTATGCTCCCAAACAAGCAGTGCAACAGCAAGTGACAAAACGAGGCAAGTGAGACGTCAGGATCGACAAAGCGATATGTCACGTCACTGACAACTGCCAGCAAAGGCGGATCAGGTTCCAAGGAGGTGAGTTACGAAAGCTTGCAATCGAGCAAATGGCTCGTGAAACAACGTCCCTCCAGCACTGCTCCCAACAGATTCTTGCACAAAAGCCAACAAAAACTGCACTCAACGTCCTGCAGCGGCACCAAGTAACCTGACTTGAGCTTCGGGACAATCATGGATGGGGCTGGATAGTTTAGAACGGGATACTGCATTTACGTCGGGGTGATACTCTGCCTTGGACAGCAATCGAAGCCTGGCATTCTTGCTGCAGCGCGGGGAGCCCCACTCTCCACTCCAGAATCCACCAGAAAAGTCCCTGAGGCTCGAATCCTTGCCACGTCAGCCAGTCAGATCATCACTAGTGCAGGACAGAGATCATTCCTGCAGAGATCTGTTCGAGCTGAACTGCCAGCCAGATCAATAACAATCATCAAAGGCTCGACAGACTTCAGGTCCAACTCGCTGATGGTTGAAAATCCAGCGATGTCCACCCTGTTGATCACACCATGCGCGAAGGTTCCTGGCATCACGTACCTGAGAGAAGGCCAGAAGCTCTATGGCGACAGCACAAGCTAAACCTAACCGAAGCCTTAAGGCCCACCTTCAGCAGCACGAGTGAAAGCACAGCCGAATACGGCACGACCAAACACCAACTGCCACAGACCGGATCACACAAAGACTGTGGAGAGGATCCTTTCAGCAGGACAGATTCCACTTGTGCGCCCTCGAATCTGTACTGCAAGCAAGCCGCACAAAGTCACCGGCGACAAAACCACCCATGAAGCTCCTGCCGTGAGATGAGGTGTCACTGTAAAGTTAGTGCAGAGACTTTAGAGAAGCTATGAATCGCCTGGTCAAACAAGCATATCAGCTTTTTGCAACCCGCTCGTTTGAGCCAAGCTCGCAGTCTCCGTCGCGTCAAACGTGCTAGTTGCAACCCGCTTGAAGGCATAGCCGGAACCTCAGCACGAATTTCTAACCCGAGCTGTGGACCACACTACCGAAAAACAAGGAGACTTACTTCTGGTCCAGGGCACTGTCCGGTACCAAGTACACATATGCCCCATCTCGATCTGCAAACCCGGAGGAGAAGCTCGAGCCAACGCTCAATTCCTGAACCTGGCCCCGGGCAGATCAACTTCTGCTCGAATCTTTCCTAGTGTTTCTTCCAGTGATCGGTAGAGCCTGAGTCATTGTAGCAACATCGGCACGGAACAGGGTCGTGCTGCCAGCATCAGGCACCTTACAAGAATCATGCTCTGCTACGCATCTCCAACCGGGGGTCTGAACTCATTTGCTGTGTGGCTTGCTGGAAAACGACCACGCTAACGGCTAAAGGCAGCCGGGCATGCAGGCGAGGTGCAAAATAGATAAAATCCGCAGCCAGGACCAGATTCCTCGTTGCGCTTGCCGGACTTTGGGAGCACTTGTAACTCCGCAATGCTCTGCTACGCATTTTTAAACCGGCCGAGGCACTTTGGGTCCCCGAAGTTGGTTGGCCACGTCGCTGGGCTGATGGAGTCGACCTGGGCATCTCAGGTTCAGATGCAGCCGAAGCCTAAGCTTGAGTGCTTCTCGCGTCTCGCCGCGCCGGTTTCATGCCCGAGCTGCAAAGTTCTGCGTGCACACGCCGGGGCCTGCAGCGTTGCAGCTTAAGCTACAGCGATGGCAAAGGATTGAAGCTGCCTTGCTAACCCTGCTGTGTTCTCCAGATCTCTGCCCGCTCTATCGACTCGACCTGACTCGACATCGCCGCAGCCGCCTTTAACCTCAAAGCGGTGCATCTGCGGGAACTTCGTCTCGTACGCGTCGCCATCCTCCAGAGGACACCACTGGTCACTGGACGCCTCTCTAGCAAAGGGTGCTCAAAGCACGCAGTTCCCACGCGCCGCCAAGGATCTTCTACGGCGAAAATGAGGGCCCAGTCTTCCTCTCTCACTGCCTCGGCTGCACCAAAGGACACCTTCATTATGGACAATGGCTTCCTTAAAGAGAACGGTCAAGGCAAGTGTCATAGCTGATCTGCGAAGCATCAGCTGCCGTTCCTCAGGAGAAAGCTAGGAACCCATGGCCTTGTTACAAGCGGTGGGATCCCGTACTTGGACTTCCAAGCCTGCAAAGCGATCGGCCAGTTACAATTCCAACTCAACTCCCTGATTCTTCACTTATACAAGTTACTCTATATAAGCCTTAAAGCAGTGCCAGGCATCCGGGATGGACGGAGAGCGCCCTGCACGAGTTCCACACAGTCCCACTCCCCACGCACCACCAATCCGAAGACGGAAAGCCAAGAACCAACAGAGGGTCCAGCAGAAAGCGGTGAGCCAATGTTTAAGCATCCAGTCAACGGCGTGTCAAGTGGCAGTCGGCACGAAGCTCCTCTTGCAGCCCTGGCACAGGAAGTCACCTCTCCGCGCGGACGGGAGAAGATAGACGGCACCGCTCCCAGTTTCCAGCGTTCCCCCATCAACATAGCTGCCTGACAATCAGCAAACTTCGGCAGTGCAGCGAAGGGAAAGAGGCAAGTCTATCCTCTGAATAACCGCTGCAAGCCTTCCGACCTGCAGCCACGACTCTCTATCTGGTAAGCAATTCATGTCAAGCTGTCACGACCGATGCCGCTGTACGGCTTGAAACATGCAGTCAGCATCCAGATCGCCGCCTGGCACATAAAATACGCGGCCGGTTGGGAACTGCGATTCGGCGGCGTCCGTGCTTCTGAACTCCAAAATGGGAGCGTCGATCGGATCGCTCTCCGTCGGCTTGCAACTCTTGCACTTGACAGCCTCGGCCGAATCATACTCAAGGCGTCTGTTCCAAGACATTGGCAGCAAGCTGTGCGCTCATGCTTGCACATACCAAGCTGTTGGATGCTCCAAAAAACATGCTATTGCTTCAAGATGCCCAGCCGACATCAGTAGTCTCGCTACCTGAGTCCATATAGCAACGGAAGGGCATGGAGGACCCGTCCAAAAGCTTAGGGCTGATGAGTTTGCACTCAGATCTCCAGTCGTCTGGTTGATCGGACGTTCATGCTGTGGCGACACCATACGCTGGGCCTCCGAATCACACGAGGAGCAAGAAGCAAATTAGACTCCAACTCGAGAAACACTGAGTCACGTGGCCGCCCGCAAAAGCGACACAAGACTGTGAACAAGCGCGACTTCTAACCCAAACCCATCTCGGGGCTTGCATCCTACAGAGAAGGGAAAAGCACATTGATGCGAGTCCAAACCTTGAAAGATATGTTTTGAATGACATCATTATGACACAAGCCGCATTTCCTAAGCTCGAACTCCCAAGTTTGTCAAAGATCTCCAGAAGCTTTCGATTCAAGCAAGAGGCCCTGAGTGACCGTGAGCTTCCTTGAAGGGGCGAGGCCGTGATCAGTCGGTCGCTTGAATGCTACATCTCGTGGAGGCTGGGCTCATGCATGGCACTCCTGGCTTCGGCTGCTACAGTACGTCCTGGCCGCATATTCTAAGATACTGGAGTCTGCTAGTCGAATCTCGAACATGAAGCGAAGCCAAGTCTCAGCCCAGTTCCAGACACAACAAAGCCCATCGAGACCTCAGAGCTCAGTGAAACTCAATGAATCTCACTCGCTGCCGACAAATAACATGGATGGCAACTCGCAGAAGTCGGCGTCTGCTGATGTTGAATGGCACAATGCCAAGATGTAAGCAAGCAGAAATGGAGACTTGGCACCTCCTCCGGTCCACCTCCGCCGACAAGACCTCCAGTTTTCAGCGAAGTACCTTGCAGTGACTCCACTCCAACCGCATTGCCTTGCCATGTCACTGAGGTTCAGGATTCGGGAAGATGTGATACGAAACATAACGCTCTCGTGTGCCGCAGATCTTCTGCCCATTCCGACTCCTTCCCCAAGGTTGTCGAGGCTCCTTCCATGTCCGTGATCTCGAAAGAGCCACCCCACCATCCTCGACTGTTCTAGGGCAGCAGGGCTCCGCCCTCATGCTCTCATTGACTGTCACTATGATCCTCCTTGCTCCTCCCTCTTTCTGTCTGGCCAAGACTCCGTTGACAGCGTCACCGGTCATCACAACGACTATCTCCGTGGAAACGCCGGTGTCTGAACGAAGCATGCAAGCTCGAATCAAATGCTTTCATGCTGGGCAGGGGCTCAAGGGATAGCTTCATACTGTATTGAGCTTGGCGAGGTCACACATGCGCGCAGACACGCAATGTCCCGACAAGCAAATGCATGATGTAAGCTGAGCTTCTGCAATGCAGCCAAGGCTCCTTGAGTAACATTCCAAACCTCGTAGGTTCCAGCGCCCCAGCCATTCGCGCTTGTATCAAACAATGCGAGCTGGAGGGACCTGAGCTTTGGATGCAATGTGGCAAGCGGACAACGGAAAAGCTTTCATTGCTGCCTGCGGGTTTAGTTTTAGCTCAATACAACCCCGAGGAGCTCCGAGGAACCTCGCACGAAACCAGGGCCAACAGATTTGTTTGCAGGACGAGTGTCGTCGTAGCACGCTCAGCGACCTCAGCGATGCTATCGTACTCATCGCAAGACATATCAGATACCATGCGTGTGACACCTTCAAACTGCAACTTTTGCTTGCGGTGCCAAGGAGCTGCTGCTTGACAACAAACTGCGAGAAACCACCTTAGATGCAACAGGCACAACACCGAAAAGGCACTGACGGATGTTTCAATCGGGCCGCTCCCTGACTCCAGGCCAGCTGTGCGAGCAGTGTGTTTGCAAGATTGCAAGCTACCTGCTTTTTGTTTTGCATCCTCCTGTCCCTACTAGATCTCGCCGTGCAGACTGTGCACGTGATGAAAATGTAGCCGATGCAGCCGCAACGGGCCATTGGCAAAGGCTTGGTCCTACAATTCCACTGCTTGGTTGCACTGCACCATCATGGCAATAACGGTCGTCTTGGCTGCAATGTTGAAGGAATTCGCCAAGGTATGTAAAGATAATCTTTACGTACATTCATACGTATTGGTGTACAGGTACCAAAACGACGTTTTAATGTTCATCTGTAGTTTTTCGAATGTACAACGAGCATATGTCAGACTACAAAAAACCTTCGCATATGCTTTTCCTAAAACCACTCACAACGACGCCCTGCTGCACAAAGTTAACATTCTCGATGATGCATCACGGGACCGCATAATACCTCACGTGCAGCATAATGCTTGAACCGACAACACCGCAACAAATGTGCGGACGCATCGCTGCGTGCGTTGGCACGCCTTCCTGCAGCGCCAATTTGCCGCAGGTCGTGTGAAACCATATGTTGTAACTTTTGCGCGGACCCCGCCCCAAGCACCGCAAGGTGCCTCACGGTGGCTCGAAAACATAAGAGAACGTTTTTCTTTAAGTGCCTTCGTTAACATGGCCTGAGACCGAAGATCGCCAACCGGGAAGCTGTGATTGAGTTACAAAACAAGTTCTTTTCCACCTCCATCTTTTCTCAGCCCTGCGACGTTCAGAAAAAGACCACGGCCTCCTTGCCGGCAGTCGCACTCGGTTCCAACAAGAAGTTGCACCAAAATAAACTACAACAAAAGAAAGCACTGAAACTTAAGCTGCCAACGTGCAAACGAAAGCGGTAAAAGTCGATCATCTAATGAACCAAGCTTCGCTCAGGTTCGCAACAAGTGCGCAATGGCGGCATGCTCTGAAGTTAAGAACTCGTTTTATGACTTAAACCGTATTTTCTTGACTTCGTTGTTTTTTGCGGACCCGGTGCAAATTTTCTGCACCTCTGATGTCTGATCAGGCCGTCACACTCAGACTCAGTCCAACAAACAAAACAACAATAATCCGATGACATCACATCGTGCTTCATCCACTCACAACGCGCAATGAAGAACATCAGTCAAACAGAATGCGTTTCTAGGTTTCCAAAAAGCATTCTACGCTACAGATTCAGTTGATGGAGAAGAATAAGTTCTGTAGTCGCTTCCGTGGCAAATGATTTCTTTTGAACAGTTTTCCGAACCATGCTCACGTTACTGCTGTTGTACGCCTTCTTTTGACCTTCTCGAAAGAACGGCTCAAGTGCCAACCTACGGTCAACTCTTTGCAATTTGGAATCAACTCCAGCCTCCATCTCTGAAATGCGCTTCTTGGCTGAGCTCTTGTCGGAGAAAAGCAAAAGTCTTGCGACAGCTCATCAAAGTATGATGCAAGCAATTTATGGACGCGTCGGAGTCAGACCGAATGGTTGGCTCGGTTTGCAGCATGAGAGAACACCACCTGGCCTTTCTTGAACCGATATTGTTAATTATTTTTTGGGGATCATGAATAGCGGTACGAAACTCCTCTACGAGCTTCATCCCGCCCGTCTGTATGGCCCATGTAGCCTTTGATCTCTGACTTGTGCAGTTTCCATTCAAGTTTCTGCTTTGGTGAAGCCAAAAGGAAAAGCGAAGTGCTGCTTGCCGGATGTCACTCTCCGCTGCATGCGCAAGCGCAAGCAGGCCAAATATTTTCAAAGATATAAACGCTCACGGTTGTAACTGTGAGTTGAATATTGTGCATGCACATACTAGAGCTGGACTTTGCCTTTCAACTTTCAAACTGTTGCTTGCTGTCTCTTTGAGACGGGCGAAGTGCACACATAGTCTTTGCGGTGACGTGGTCTGTGCAGTTCCATCGGGGGTGATAAGCCCAGCTCTGGAAACAACCCTTGGCTGGAAAAAACCCTGGGCTGGAAAGGACCCTTCGCTGGAAAAGACTAGGCGGTGGAAAATGCCCCAACCAATTTTCACAAGCCGGTGGCTGGAGGCTGGAAACAAGCCCGGCTCTGGAAATCGCCTGCCCCTGGCTGGAAGAAGCCCGGGGCTGGAAGCAGCCGCTGGCTGCTGGGAGCAGCTTCCAGATGGAACTTGTCCCTGGCTGGCAAGAGCCCAAGCCACAACTCCAACCTCAAGCATCAAGTTCTAACCGTTAAAGGTTTGTTACCGGTGCCAAAAAAGTTTACTCAGCGCCTCGGATTCAAACAAAAGCAGACTCCAAACCAAACTTTTCACAGCATTGTAGGCCCCGAATTTTCTGTTGCTGCTTGCAGAAAACATATTCTTAAATGGAAGGTGCAGCTCCGAGGCCCACGCTCCGGCGCTGTACAGTTCAGCCTTTACCGGCGCGGCTCAAACCAAAGCCTTTACCGGCGCGCCTCAAACCAAGCGCAAACGCAGGTGCCGACCACGCGCAAGACGAGTCCATGCGTCGAAAAGATCATCTGTCAAGACGTAATTACGAGGAAAAATTGAAGCAAGCTGGTCGCCAGTGGGCGCAGTTGAAGGTACCACACGAGGGCTTCTTGATATGGTCGAAGATCACGCGATAAGCGAACAGGGGCCTCCGGCTCCAACCCCAAAGACGCAAAACCTGCCTTCCATTTCCTTCCATTGAAAAAGCTCCGGCTCAAAGCAAAGACTCGGCGTAAAAAATCCTCTGCTCGCTCTCTCCCAGACCCATCTGAAATTGCTGTTTGAAATGGAACTTGAAAGCCGAAAAGGGCAGTGTGTCCAAAGGCTGAATCAGCCCAGTTAGGCCTGCTGGAATGACAGCCATCCAGATGTTGCTGTTGTTCGCGGCGCGCACCGTGTCGGAGTGAATGTGGGAAGCATGACAATCCAGAAGCAAGATTGCTTGGAAGGCCGGGAAAGCAGCCATTAGATGTGACAGTTCCTCGAGTACACGTTTCATCACCCGTTAAAACCCAAACGCGCCTTGAGGCACACTTCTAGGTTTGGTACAAAGGAGGTGCAAGCCGACTGACTGCCTACGTCAAGCAAGACTGGTCTCTACAGCAGTGAGAGCTAACAGCACTTTTTACACCTTTCCACGCAACCAACTGTTCACCACGCGCTTGTCACGCAGTGCAAGGCTTGAGCCAAAATGAAACGGGCCGCGGACAGAGACTGTGCTGACAAGTCGTAAGGACTCCTAAGGGCTTCTCTGCACTGGTAACTCTGCTCTATGGCCCTGGTGTTCCCCGGACTTGGTCCAGAAGTCCGCTCTCACAGCAAACAAACTGAAACCACTCTGATATTCATCATGCTTCAGGAAAACTTCAGGGAAACACCGTGCTTCGTGAAAACTCGTGGAAAACTCCGGTTGGACTGGAACTAAGCACTTTCACCCGCAAGGTGAGACAGGAAGCGTGAACGCAGCGACCGAAAAAAAACAGACAACTTTTCCCTACTTCTACCGTTCACGGCACCAAAGATTTTTTAAAACTCACAAAGAAGAAAACAGAAAGATTTCTGACCTGGCGAGACACAAGAGGCACCATGAAAGGATTAAAAATCATTCGCTGGGCATCGAGCCGTCCGAAACGAGGTCAGTCATGAATTCGGCATGCACTGTGGGAAATCTCAGCTTGCCCTACGTCCTAGAGAGAGTTAGCCAGCTCGCCCGCCAAAAATTTTAATCGGCCAGCTGGCTGGAGTCCGGAGTCTCAGCGGTCGACGCAGCGGCAGCCACTTGGACACGAGAAGTCCGGGGGGGAACCGGCACCAGGCACAGGAAAATTGGAGACCGCGTCTCTGGAGGTGGAGGTTGAAGGAGGTCAGCTCAGAGCTAGAAGGAGCTCGGAGAGAGTCCATCCACAGAAAGAACACCCAAAATCCGCGCGGATCAACTGGCAAGAGCTGCTCTGGCACATGCCCTCTGAGACTCTGAGCAGTGTACAGCAAAATCACAGCCGCAAGGTGTAAAGAAGCTTCGAGAATCAACTAGCTGCTTGAAGCAATCAAGACGTGCATGTTTGTGTTTTTTTTCGAAGAAGCACATTTTCACACATGCTCCGCTGCTTGATGAAAGAAACATTGCGTTGCTACAATCTGTGCATCTTTGGTAGATGGGCCTCCAGAGTTCAGAAAACATCCAATTGTCCAGGAATGTTTGGTCGAAGCTCTAATTTGAGAGCATCCAGTCCAGCCGCGCAGAGTTTGATGTCAGCTCGTGCGGCTGGAGGCATCCACACAAAACTCTGCGCCAGCTGCACGACGAGCTTTCAAACTTGATCTCTGTGCCAGGCGGATTTCGGCAGAGCGCTTTGGTCTGCCTTTTTTGCTTTGGGTCCCAGCCGGTCTATGTCATCTCAAAATGCAGGAAAACCGCTTCAAGTTGACGCCACCGATGCTGTGGATGTTGAGTGGCAGAGTTACAAACGTGCGACCATTACGTTTTTTTTGGTTCGCAGCGTCACGAAACCCCGCAAGTCTAGCGGAAACCTGGACGTCTGGGCCGCCCGCAAAGCCGGAGGATAAGCGCGAAGTGATGGCTACGTGATGGGCTGAACGCCAATCGAAGGCGCGGAAAAATGTTCTCCGAGCACTTAAACACGTGCAAGCTGCCAGGTAAATGGATGCCTCAAGCTGCCGCTACAGCTGAAAATGTAGGTCACGCGCTGTCACAGGATTCCGAACTTTGCACAGCACTGCTGTCGCCAGAAGAAGTAGGAGCCTGCGCCGCACCATTGTTGTTACATGGCCGCGAGCACGCGACGGCGCGCAGTTCCTGCACTGCTCTTGTGTGCTTGACACCCTTTTCAAGCGCAACACTGCTGCCATTGCCACAGCCAGAAAGCATCCCAGGGCACGAGACTGTCACTGCACTTCACCGCCATTGCCAAAAGATGCCAAGAGCACGTGACATGACCAAAAGCAATTTAGAGGTTACAAGTTGGCATGCTTTGTAGCTTGCTTTGTGTTTGACTGCTCAGAAGGGTTTGGAACTGCTGCAGAAATCTCAGAAACTATCCGCGTCCTCGCACACTTCGGAACACGCGAAACAGATTCTGAGACTTCTGCCACTGCAGGCAGGGCACGCATTCCGTTCTGAACCCAGAAGCTAGTCAGGTTACAAGACGCTTACCGCAGCAGACTTGCAGCCACAATGCATGTCATTGCAAACTGCGCGTTTGTAAGCACCCAGCACTTTGATCTACTGTACGCGCCAGAGCAGAAACACATTCACCCTTCAGCTGCGTTCTCACCACTACACTCAAATCTGCATCTGGCAGGCCGCAGAGACACTGCAAACTATTGCCAAAGAGCGAGGCCGCAGCCTTTCGCTCCTGCGTGTCCATGGCGCAAAGCAACTGTCAAGTGTCAGCCGATGGCGGAGCTGGCCAACCACGTCTTGGCCCGCTCGTACCGCAGGCCCAGCTTCCGTTGCGGGCCAAAGATATAAAAGAGAGGCACACAGAGCTTCCCCCCAGAGAAGAGAAGGCGTGAAGTGACCACGCCCAGTACTTTTTGTTCTTGACATTATTTAGTTCTTACTGGGACCCAGTGCAGCAACGTCCGCCCACACCAAAAAAAACCGTTGCGAACCGAGTAACAACTTGCAAGCACATGCGGAAAAAAACAAACAAAGCTTTGTCAGATGTAGCAGACGATCACAAAGCCCCCCAAAATCAGAGTTGAAGAGACGCCACAGTGGGCAGTTTAGCATTATCTTCTGCGCTGGCAGTATGTGCTCCAAGCAAGCTCTTCAGCAGACAGCAAAAAAGAACTGGTCGCATGAAGTCGCAGCAAGACAAAAAATCTTCAACAATTCTTGCTCTTTCAAAGTTGTTTTGTTTGCAGAAATGCTGTTTGCTTTGTGTGGAAAAAACTTTGTCAAAATTGATTGCATGCAATTTTACATTGCCCAATGACAGTCTTACTGCTTCTGTTAAAGTCATCCATTGTTTTGGACGACAAGTAGTGCAACAAGATGGAAGCTAACCTGAAACCTGATTGAAGCTTCCAAGCAAAATTGCGTTGGAATTGACAGAATCCCAACCTCAAGCAGCTTGTGTTTGGGCTTTTATCGCTTCGCTTGGTTTGGAATTTTTTGTCTGTGTGCAAAGCATGTTGTTTTTGGATCGCAAACGGAACGCTAACTTTGAAGTTGAGAAAACGTAGTTGATCCATTTTGTCTGATGGCATCTTTGAGCTTGGCTTATTGCACCTGGATGCCATCCATCTTGAACAAGATACCACAGTGGAAAAAACGAAAACGCTTTTGTGCCGACAAACAATCAAATTGAAGCTGAAGAATCTTCTTGTGTCAAGTTGCGGATATGGCCACAGGAGAAGTCTCCTAGAGTTCTGCTTCAGAACAAACGGATAGATGCAGTTGCCAATCATGACGTTGGAACGTGGGTCCACAACATTCGTTTAGTTTTTAACACCAGTCTCGTTGCTTTTCTCCTTGCTGCTTGGAACAACGTTTGTTGAACGGAAGGAAGCAACAAAGCAAGGAAGAGGCAACAAGTTCATGCTGGTTTATGCTATACACCGTTGCGCATGCATGCAACATCATGCAACATTTTTTATAGCATGAACAAGGTTCCTTCAGTATAAAGCCATGTTCCGCAACAAGCCGATGTTATACGGTTTATTTTAACTTGCCTTCCCACCTGTGACGACATTGTTGTCACACCCAATGCGTAGCTTTTAGAAAGCATGGAAGGGTCACAGCAAGAATTTTTACGAGTGATGGTCAAGCAAGACATGAGGACTGGTTGTGTGCGGTTGATTGCGGTTGGAACCGTGAGGATTAAAGCATGCTAACACAGTTGTGTTTAATTTCAATGTGGTTTATCGGAATTTTAGCGAGTGGCTACTGTTGGCCATGGCATGAGGCCAAGTGTGCTGCCATGGTATTTCATGGATGCGTATGGCCAGGACGGCTTTGGTGTTTCCTGTCGATGCGCATGTCCGTTCTTCGTGGGTAGTCAGCTTCCGTGCACCGCGTGTTTGCACAGTTGGATCCAGGAGCAGGGTCCAGTGTCAAGCTCAAAGCTCCGCAAGAACCTGGAGCAAGGGGCTTGGAATACACATCTGCGAAATCATCACGATAAGATTGTAACAGCACTACCGGCGCCACACGATGATGTTTTCCCTGCGAGGTGCGGAGGAATTTCGCAGGCCTAACTCCGTGATTGTGGAAACAGTGTAACATGAAGTAGAGCCTGCTGCAGTGTACACGGGAAGGAAATACATGCAATCACAGCACGTTGCCTGACTGCTAAAACTGGGCCGCTGCATGTTGCGAGAGTCGGTCACATCATGTGCTTTTGCATAACGCAATGTTGCAAGCCTGGTAATGTGGCGGATGCGTGCTCGTGTGGTTATTTGCAGAGCATTGCCAAAAGATGGTAATAAAATCGGAAACGCAAGCCGTGACAAAGGTGGAATTGCATCATGTCCAGGCTTTGCAGGTGCGTCTTCCGAATTGGGATCGCTGGGGCCTCAAGATCTTTCAAAGAAGCTGCACCGCAACAAACGTTGGCAAACCACCAAAGGCTTCTTCAAAGTGGAAGAACTTTGGCCCAGCCGTGAGGCTGGACCGTCACAGCGTCACCGACCTTTCGCGTTTGTCAACCCAACCCGATGGGCTTGGACCTGCACCCTGTTTAATTTGCAGCTGCCAACAAGTGCGTGGAAATACAGAATGATTTATTCAATCAGAGTCGGCAATATGCAATGTGGAAAAATTGTAGGTATCATTTGCTTCGTGTTTCAATCCACAATTTTCGGCGGCATAATGACATAATGCATAATGCGGCATACATCCAACGTTCATGTTTATGAATTTTGCATAATGTCAATATAGATACTGTTCACCGCTTATCTTCACACGCAGCTCTGAGCTGCCGCGCTCGCCGCGATGCCACCTTGCCGTTTGTGCTGTTGAGACTGGTATAGCTGCTGGAGTCCGAACCCAGTGCTTGGTTGGCGCTTCTGGCACAAGCGCGAGTGTGCACGCTGCCGTGCGCTCGGCTTAAGCGTGCAGCCCTGCAAGACTGGCATTAGCGCCGTTGCGGCGCAGACGGCTGTCGCCGGGTTTTGGCTCGAGCTTCCACTCGACACCGTCGCCCCCTGGCTTGGCACCTTGATTTCCAGCCGACTCCCGGCGAGGACGTAGGTTTCATGCACGACATAGCCAGCAGGTGCATTGGGACCGCGTGCGTACCGGTCGCAAAATTGCGCGACAAACATTCAGATGCACAGTCAAGTCTAAGACCGTGTCGGGACATGTGGGCATGTACAGCCACCTAGTTGTTTCGTTGACGTGGCAATCCGGCACGCTGTCAAAGGTTGGGTCCGCAACTCCGCAACGTTTCCACGTCGAGCCGATCACTGTTCAGACCGGCGCGTCTCCCTGCGCACTCTGATACCGAAGAATCCTTGGAGCCATTGCATATATTCATCTCAAGCATGACGTCCCTGCCCAACGTGCGCTAGCCGCCTTTTTGCTGCACCTACCTCTCGCATTCTCTCGCCAACAACTGGAGTCGGAGGGGAATAAGCTTTGGACAAACGTTGGGCTGACGTGCGTTAGCTCGGGCGCGGGAGCGCAGTCGCATGCCTATTTATTATGTTGCGTAAACAGCTTCGTGCGCGACCATTTGTGAGCGGTTGCAAAATTGTGCGCAACAAACAACGTTACCCAGTGGGCGGACGCGCTCCGGGTGATGGCTGGCAGCAACACCCAGTTTGCATACTGAACACTTGCTATCGCGAGCACCTCTGCAGTTTGTCGAGCTTTGCGCGTGCTGCCCACAGACGATGGCAAGCAACTCTTGCCACTCGACTTGCAAGCCGCTTTGAGGAGACTCCGCGCTCGCCGTCACCCTGGGCATCGTTTCGCTGTGCCGGACACATGGCGACCCAGGCTGCAGAGTCGTGGTTGGGAGACCACCACCCTGCTTGTGCCCGAAGCGGGTTGCTTGCCTAGCGAGCATGGGTTCGTTTCGCGACGCCCCTGAATGACGGGCAAAGACCACGTTTGGATCCTGGTTGAATTAGGGGCTTTGGTTTCCAGCTTTCGGTGATTTCCAAGCCCCGCTAAACAGCTTTCCAGGTACTCCTAAACCGTCGCATTTACTACTGATGTACACTTGTACTGCTATTGTATTACTGTTGTACTACTGCTATATTGTATTACCTCTGTACCATTACTAAACCCACTATTGTACTACTATTGCATTACTACTGTATTACTATTGCACGAGTACTGTACTACTATCGTATTACCACCATTGTAGTATTACTGTACTACTACTGTGCTACTGCTGTTCTGTACTACGACTGTAGTTTTGCGGTGCTCCTACGGTACGCTTGCGGTACCGCTACGGGACGACTGTGCGACTACTGTACTATTACTGTACTAGCTCTATGCTGCCGCTATAAAACCACTGCACCGCACCGCCTCAGACGTGGTCGATTGTATAAGAGAGAGAATGCAGGTTGGAGGCAAACATGTCCAAAATGAAGGTTTTTAGTTTTGGTGACCCCAAACCCTGCGAAACAGCTCTTTTACAGTACCTCTTCCCTCCAACCTGCACACACTTCCACATTCGACCACTTCCTGGACTGTGGTACTGTTCAGTTTTAGTACGGTAGTAATACAGGAACACAACAGTAATAGTACAATAGTAAGTGCAGCAGTACAGGGGGTTTAGGTAGTGGGTGCCCAAAACTGAAAGCAACGCACGCAATCGGAAAAAGGTGCGAGCAAAAAGAGGGTGTGTTAAAACTAACAGGCAAAAAAGTTGCTTGTAGCATTCTTTTTACGTGCCTTTCCTCGAACGTTTAGGAAGGTCCAATCGAAGGCCAGCTATACTTCCGTCGCCCACGGGGCGCGCAGCCGTGGCGAAGCAGGCAGCGTCGGCTTGGCAACCTCGACAACTTCGCTCATTGTCGACATGCCCACGGCAGCCCGGCTGCACTGGCACACGCCGAAAGCCGCCTAGCAGCGTGGACGCGAACACGCTCAAAAACCGCCACCAGCGGGGCCGCCAGCTTGCAGCAGTGTGGGCTCACGAAGACATCACGCGATCTCACGCAGACGAGGCAGCGGAGGAGCTCGCAGCCAGAGCGGGCAGAGTGACGGCTCTCGTCCACCTGAGCGAGCTCTCAGCGGCTTTTCGCGCGCTCGTCGCCTACCCGCTTGTGCCGGGTTCCGATGCGACTTCCGCCGAGCTCCGCGATCCAGCCCTGCGCCCCCCTGAACCCCACGGCCCGCTGTCGCCCCAAATCGCCGCGTCTCATCTCGGGGAGCGGTGTCCGTTTCTGCTGCATGCCTTCTTTACATGCTTGCGGACGGAGCGACGCGGGGCCGCGGCAGGCCCGGCGGGAGCCACCCATGAGCAGCTGCGCACGCTCCTCGACCACGAAGAGGACAGCCGATTCCTCCACTGCACCACGCAGCGAGGTGCCCACGCTGACGTTCCCGCCCCGGCGCTCGCGGCCATGCGTCGCCGTGCTCGTGGTTGGGTTGGGCGAAACACCAGTAGACGGCCTCAGCACGCGCGCCGGCATGCTATCGGCAGCGAAACACTCCAGCGCCCCTCCCCAAACTCGGCCGCAGGAAGGCTGCGGCACAGGAACGCAGTACCGCAGGAGGAACAATGCACGCCCTGGCCAAGGTCGTCGGTGCCATCAAGCCCATCGCGTTGCGGACACGTTTTTTCTGCCGAGGTTGGCCGCGATGGCGGCGCCTCGCTCGACTTCACTGGCGAAAGAACAGTTTTTTTTTTTGTCGCGGACCCTCTTCCACCATCAGCCGCAGTCGGCACCTACGTCCCGCCCTACCGCTACGGGGGTCCCGGGGCGCGGCTCGGCTCAGGCCCGCTAGTCCAACGGGCGTCTGCGCGGAGCTCGTGCAAGACCTGTGCTGGTTCAACAGCACAAAGCTCCGCGTGCAGAGGCAGCTCCAGAAACGTGGTTGCAAGTGCCGCTGCGCAGCAACCGCAACGAAGCCACTCCACCGGAGCAAGAAGCGCGGGCGTGCGTTTCGAGCGCGCGCGCTCATCACATGCATGGGCAGCAGTGCGCTGCTACCCGCATAAGCAGTCAGTATATTTAAGCTCGTCACCACGGGAGCGCAAGTCGCGCCTTCGCTGCACATAGGCCGCTGCTTGTGTCGCGGCCTGCGCCGAGGGCATGCGGCCAGCTGCTGGAAGCTGGAGCCCGGAGGCACTGCATGAGGCGGTCGACGTTGGGAGCTCGGACATGAATGACCAGGAGAGTGTCCACCCAGGAGGCCCGGTAAGCCGCGTACCGGTCTAGCTACCGGGACGGCGGCCGGGGGCAAGGCTCGCAGGAGGTAGTTTGCCCGCGGGTTTGGGGCAATAATGCAAAAGCCACCACGATGCGTGGAAGTCGTCGACATGGGGGATGCGTTGCACGACATGGTCGTGCTCCGCGCACTAAGTCAAGTCGCTGCTGGATGTACGCGTCGCCGCCGAACGGTGCACCACGAACGGTGAGCCCCTGTTCGGTGGGCGGCACACCCCGCCCCCGGGCGGCTCTTCCACGGCGGCGTTCCGCGGTTGAGCGCGACATGTGCGTAGGCCTATAAAGAGAGCGCCGATATAAGCTTTGTAGAGCTCGCACACCCGCGTCAAAGGCCCCAATTGCATCGACGGCGGGGATTGTGGCTCGGCCATCGACCTCGGCATCGGCGCAGAGGACGCGCGGCAAGGCCTCACTGGCTGCCGCCACTTACCGTCTGCATGTCCGCCCACTCCCCGCATTGCGCCCAACTACGAGGACCTGCCGCTCGCAGCCCTACAGTTCCTGGCGATGGAAGATGATGGAAGCGAATCTCGTCGCCACGCCCTCCTATACCGCACGAACTACCACAATCCTGCGTTTCACTGTCTCCTCGATCTTCACGGACGTGCAGACCACGGAACTGGCGTTGTGTCATGCTATGCTATGCCATGCCACGGTTGGCCAGGCTAGGCTAGTGCGTAGGGCAGGGTAGGGTGGGGTAGGGTAGGGTAGGGCACATCGAGGTCATGGCGAACGACCTTTCTTTAGCATGGCGCTCTGCAGGCAGTCGACGCCACCATCGTGAGCCATGTCACGAGAGCCGGTGACCCCCACCTGGGAGGAGACTGTCGATGGCGCTGCCCGGCGCAAGCGCCGCGAAACTTACCCTGAACTTGAGAGTGCCCGCGCTGCCGCTTGGTGGTCGTTGGGGTTGAAGTCGGCGGCCGCTTCGGGACTGAGGCTGCAAAATGGCTTCTGCTCGCACAGCACCGTACCGCCGACGTCCCCGCAGCTCTGCGGACCGCTGCGCACTCCGCATGGGTCGTGCGGTGGTCCAGTTTGCTTGTTGCGGCGCAGCACGCGTTCGCCGCCTCATTGCTGGAGCTCGCGCTCGCAGGAGTGCAATGTCGCTGGGGATGTGCCGGAGCTGCACGAGTGAGGTTGTTGCAGAGGTGCACTCGCAGTTCCTTGTGCCGACAAGGCCGCGTTGAAACCTCCGCGGATCTCCGCAGGTTTCGAGCCGGCTTTCCGAAGTCCTTCGCGCACGGGACCTCTGTCTGCTGGCTTAAAAAAGACGCGAAAAAAGGGGGAGGGTAGGTCCTTCGCTTCCGCCTACGGAAAGATGATTTTGGTGGCCCGCTCCGCTTTGTATTGCAGTTTGCAGTCTAGCCTCTGTACTTTTCCTGACCCATACCTTCTGTGTGTGGTGACAACGCTCCTCAGCCCTTGGTGGCAGCCGATGTCGACGGAGAATCCCCACTCCTGAGCGACATGCTTGCAGATTCCTTGCTGGAGCCTGCCTTCGCTAATGTAGTGCGCAGTCGGCTTTCCTTTGGGTTTGCACAGGGACCGCTTAGCTTTGGACGCAAGTAAAAAAGTGTGTGGGAGAAAGAAGCTTGAAATCGAGATGTTGCACATGAATCGTTTGCAGAAGGCGGCGTTCGTATTACCACCGGCTTGGCCGTCAGCTTAGTTGGGGGGCATAAGTAATGACGGTTGACATGGCACGCATGACTCTCAGTTGTTTGCTGAAGTGCAAGCGGCTGCTTGTGGATATTTTGGAAACCAGGCCCGACATATACAGCTGGCGGAGCACGGATTCACAGAGCCTTCCTTACGAAGTCTGGTGCGTTCCGTTGCCACCTTCAGATAATCTTCAGTTTGTCCATGGCAAGTTGCAGTTTTCAGGTGGAACTCTGCCGAGGAGTGCGGCGAAGGCACAATCAGCACAGTACGTTTTGGAAATTTGGCTTCGGTGCCGTTGTATGTCCATGTGTATGCTCGGTGCTGCGGACCAAGCACTGCCCGCAGTAGACTGTTCTCCGCTCGTGCTGCGGTGCTCGCCATGGCGAGCCGAAGACCACTGCTCTCTTTGGGCATAGCGGCCGCAATTATTGCGGCGCAGACGAGCTTTTTGGAACCTGGGCAGCCCTTCGTTTGGAATTTGATGGCATATAAATGACGGCACATGCCCGCGCACTGAGGGTGGATCTGATATTAGGACACATGACATTGCAGATGCACTCCAACCCACGCCCGTGGATCCCTCGATAAATCACGGGTTCCATGTCTGGTGGCTTGTGTAATATGCACAATGTCAAGCGGCCGAAGGCTGGTGAATCAGGGGTGAGCGAAACCAGTGCAGAGACGAATTATGCGAATCAAGGCTTCTACGAGTAGTTCCCAATTACTAGCTGAATGTTCATTGAAATTTTCAGAGTTGGTGTTTCCGAGACCCCTGAGCTACTCGCAGCATGGAACAACACGATGCTCGTGATTGCCGCGGTGCGTGATTGCCTGGTGTGTCATGTGTAGTCGCTCCGACGGGTCGGGCAAAAATTGGAAGACTTTCCATGGAGCATTTGATATGACATTTCGTATCTGGTTCGTATCTGGTACTGGTAGTTCACGTATGAGTTAGCAGATTACTTATTGCTCCATGTTTTAAACTCCTGTGTTGCGCCTGCTCATGGTGATGGTGTCGTTAATTGTGCTAGCTTTGAGGATGTGCGTTTGCAAGGTTTTGGTCTGCTTCGCCACAGCGCCGGGTGACTCGAACTTGGCCGACAGCGCGAAGATTTTCCGAATCGGAATCGCAAACAGAGGCTCCGGAGCACCCTGAGTTTGCGACCTCGAACATACCAGCATGAGCACAGCCAGCATGAGCACCCTTGCATGTGCCAGGAGCTGTCCGATGCGGCCAGGGCCAACATAGAGAAACTGCAAGCAGAGATTGAAGAGCTCAGCGGTGTCAAGGAGGAGAAGCAAGCTGCACATTCTCGCCTCAAGCTCGAAATCGACAATTTTCGGCAACGCACGTCGTCAGAGCTTGCGGCCGCCCGCGGCAAAGCTGCTGTCCCATTGGTGCAAGAGCTCCTTCCTATTGCTGATGAATTTGAATATGCCAAACAAAACTTGAAGATCGAAACTGACGGCCAGAAAGCAGTAGTTGAGAAGTTTGAAGCGCTCTTTGACAAGATGTTGGAGAGTTGGAAATCCCTCGGCATTGAGAAGATGTCCAGCGTGGGGGAGCCCTTCAACCCTGAGCTACACGAAGCAGTCTCCATGATTCCCTCGGAGGAGTACAAAGAGGCCAGGATGCAGCCAACGGCCATAAATGCTTGAAGAAGCTTCGCAGAGGTAGTCCGAGCACGGTGCGCAACGCAGTTTTTGTTTTAAGAGCGGGCAATTTTCACGTCCTTCTCGTGGTGCCAACAGGAAGTGGTGTGCAATGAGCTTCGCCCGGGATGGATTCTGAAGACTCCAGGCCAGGTTAAGAAGAATGCGTCACGTGCAGATCATGATGATGTAGCAAAGAGCACGCATCCTCTGACAGGTTCGGATGACCAGCAGGTGCTGAGAGCTGCCTTGGTGACCGTCAGTGCAGGTCCTGGCCCATCCTAGGTTCCACGGCTGATACCTTCGTTCGTCTGCGACCTACGTGTCGCAGCATGGCCTGCTGTAAACGGAAATTCCACAGCAGAAGCCCGTGCTGGCTTACGCATCGTGCCAAGATTCCAGTTACTGTGGCAAGCACGAGGCCCTGTCTCTTTTGAAGCCAACAGACGATGTTGACCCTTTCTGTTCACTGACCTTAAAGAGATGGGCTTCCGCTTTGGACTGAGCGCCCGCTGTGAAAGCGATCAGCAGTACCTCGCGATGCCACATTCTGGTGTGTTCATCCTAGTCGAGCCATCTTGCAGCGAAAGACCGAGGTACAGCAATTCTTGTGCAGAGTGTCCAAAAGAAAAACAAGCGCAGCCGAGGACGAGTGAAACTGCATACGATGCATTGCCATCTTGCTAGGAAAGCTGTCTTCATTGGCGGCCATTGCCTTGGAGCCGGTGCTGCTCTCCGCACAGGTCTTTCAGCATGGGAGAGTTGTCTGTTTTGATACAAGGCTTCGAAAGATTTCGCAAGCAGTGGCAGGCAGGTGGGCAAAGCCCATCATCAGGGCCAGCCGAGGGCTCCCAGGCCAGTTCTGTTCAAACCTCGGCTGTCAGCCGCATCGGCTTCCAGCCGAGTTCGGTCTCGAGACCCAGGCCGGCAGTGCCAAAGCGGATGCAGCAAGCTCAGAGAATTCTGGCGCTCAGCAATGGCTACCAGTTTTCATAGTTTTTCCGGAGATTGGTCGAGGAAGCAGCAGACGTCTTGTTCATGTTGTCTGCCCACCCCATGTTACTCCCGCAGCCGTGTGCAGCCAAGCCTTTCGTGCTTCGAGAGCCCATGGATCAGATCAATGAAGGCGGGGCTCGGGGCGCCGCTCGACAAGCTTTGGGCCTCTCCCTTTCTCTCTCCGTCGTGAGGCGTTGCTAGCGCTGTTTCCGGCGCTTGCAGCAGCAGCACTGCGTTCGAAGGTTGCCGGATCCCCGGTTTCCTGCGTCGTCTTGTGGTTTTTCCACCGTCTTGCGCCCAAACGGGTCTCCGCGATCAATCATCGAATGGAGTCTGATTTGCTTTCTTGAGGCACGTGAAGTGTTCGTCCCTTCTGTTCAGAGCCTCGGCCTCAGTTGTGAATGGGTTGCCAAGGTATTCTGCAATGTGTCTGTAGCTTCATGCCAGCACCTAGAAACAGGGCTTGCACCGAGGTATGGAAGCAGCAATTGCCCAATTGATTCAGCGCAAGAAGGAGCCTGTCAGTCAGGAGCCCCCACGGGCATGTCAATGTGTTGCCCGGCTCTGGCTAAGATTTTTCAACAGCCAGCTTAGGGCAACACTGCGTTGCTGCATGTTTGCATTGATTCGTGCGGCGGCTGGTTGGAGGAGCTGGTGAACGATATCAAAACACTCCTGGCAGAGCCTTGCAGAAAACACTGGCGGTAGCTCTGTCTTCAGTCAAGCAGGGTGAGAGTTGCTGACAGCAGAATCTGATCAGGCATTTGCAGTTTTACCCGCATCATTTTCAAGTGATGCGTTGAAAAGCTCCGATTTCAGGACACCGTGATGCCCCACCTGCACCAGCAGCAGCAACGCATTCAGGTACCATGGCCGTCATAGCATCGGTGTGCGGTACCATGGAACGACAGCGAGGGGTCTGCTGCTCTTCCAAGGCCCAGCTTGATGCGGCTTCTCAGCACTTCGAGGAGTGCAAGGCCGCTTTGTGTAGCAGCCTTTTCCTCTTGCGTGCTGCCGTTATAGGTGTTGCACATCGAGGCCGTAAAGCCAGCCAGGGAGAGGACCGCTCTGCTCCATGCAGAGCACGAGAGCTGTCGATACGCGGAGGCTTCTGCTGTTGAGGTTGCCATGCATGTTTCGTGAGAATGTCGTCCGGGATGGAGTTCTTGCTGAAGAATTTTGGGGCGCTAGCTTTGTGGATGCTATCGGCTAATGGAACATGTGTGCCCATCAGCAGCCAGGCATCAGAACACTGTACTTGCCATTTGGACCTGCTTGACTCAGTCGGCGGCGGTGGATCAAAACGCAACCTGCATCTCCGAACTGGAGTCTCTCGAAGCAGTGAAAGATGAACGCTGCCGTGCCTGGGCTGATGCTGCACGAACAGCTTGTCAAGCTGTAGGACCTTGCCGTTTCCCTGAGGTGCCTTCGATGAACTGAATCAAATTCCGGAAACATCCTGCGCAGCGCGGAGCGGAGAGAACGCCACAGCATGGTATGTGCCTTGACCCGTCCACAGCTGGGTCCTTTCTAGTACGGGTGCATGATGGTGCATGGGCTGCAGGCTTCAAAGGCAAGTTATCCTAAGGTTCGAACCCTGGCCGAGCTTCAGTGGGCACAAGAACGTCTGGTGCAGTCTGCAGCCAGATGCAACGCAGCAACCTGGTAAGAATCGAACCAGTTAGTTTGTCAGTAAGACCGGTGAGGTCACTGGCAGTGCAAGATTGGCAACAAGACCTCTGAGGGTAGCGTGAGATCCTTTGCGTGGTTGCCTTCCTGGCGTAAATCTGCATTGGTTCATGCTCCTTGCAGCCGACCCCTCGCCGCGAATCACATGTTCAGATTCAGATGGCTGTTGCACAGACGCGACAGCGTTCCATGGACCACTCACGCAACCCTCTTGATGTCGATTGGCTCACCCGCAGAGTTTAGATTGCCTTGTTGCTGCCCTCCCTTCCACTCAGGTCAAAGTCAACTTAACCCACCGGCTGAAATTAAGATGCGATTTATCGCCAAAAGGCTGAATTCACTCTAAGAGCCCTTCCATCAACAAAGCTGATGCGGTGATGGTTGTCCAGTCTGAGAGGAGCTGTTCCAGTTCATTTTCGCACATCTCGGCCAAGCCCTGCAGCCATAAGCAGCCCACGCATTGTCCAAGGCGCGACTTGCACAAACGGAAAAGATGGGCACCTGTGCCGACGCGCAGAAGGCTGGCAAGCAAGTTCCGTTGGAGTGTCAACTCAAGTCGAGTTTTCTGTCAGGATCTGGCGTCTCTCAGAGCAAGCTGCGATGCGAAGCAACTGGAGCTGGACCAAGCAGGCTGTGACTTATACGACTCGGCGCTGGCAAACTGCAGTGCAGAGGCCTCTGGGCAGCAACTGTGAAGTACTCGTATGTCGTTTGCAAACCTTTCGTGGGCGAAGGGGTTTTTGATTCAGGAAGCCTGCTACCAGCAGCGGCGCAGCAGCCACGACTCGATACTGGCCAATACACGCGACCAGGAGAAGACCCTCAAGGCGAGCAGCTGGCAAGCCTTGGAGACAGGCATCAGAAAGAAATAAGCACGCAACTTGCGCAGGCCGAGTTTGAGGCATTGCTGCATATGCAGTGTCTGCTCGAGACCTTTAGCCATCGCCACCTCGAAGCAGCAATCGACGAGTGCAAGGAGCAGAGCCTGTTCCTTGTGAGCGTCGTGCAGCTGTGAGCCGCTGCGCAGGACAAGAAGCACGACACCCAGAATATGTCCCTGGTGTATCACAACATCTCAATCACTTCCAACTGCAGCGTTCCTGGACGGGCGAGTGGCTTGTGGCTAGAACTGGCTAGAAAGACTCCTTTCAACACATGTTTGCCTGCGCATGCAGGAGACTTGAAACCAGGCGGGGACCGGCGTGTCTCTAATGGTGCTGGCATTGCTTGGCTCTCCGTGTCTGCGAATGTTAGTAGTCATCCAGGCACAGCGACTTATGAGCGACGTCTTTTTGCGGCTTTGCCTGACGTCGTGCCGAGCCGCTGTGCCGCCACATGCTGTGCGTCACAGCAGCTGCTGCTTCCTGCGGAGCCTGTGTACCAGGCCCAAAGCCGCAGTTCGCTGGCACAGTAGTTCGTTTTCAATACCAATGGGATGCGTGATGCCGGTGCAGTTCTTGTCGGTGTCACTCCTTTCTGCATCTGTCTTTTGTCATCGTTCGCAGGCGGTGCACCAGTGCTACACCTTCCGAGCGGCCTATTCACCTCCTCTGATTCCAGGAGAAGACCGGACAGTTGAGGATACTGCGCAAGACTGCCAGCAAAGGCCCTGACCCTGTGGTGACAGTTTTCTCTGGCGACGTCGCTTGCAACCACGATGCCCAGGTGCAAGCGGACGGCGGGATGTGGTGGCTTCAGCTACACTTGGGATGGAGGCTGCTTCGTCGCCCATCAATCTGCCACGAAGGCGGGTGCTGTTCTGCTAATCGTCCAGGCAAGTTTTAGGCTCCAAATGCAACACTCAGACCTGGGTGTCGTGCCAGATCTTTCAGCCGGGAGTCGTTGCTGGCCCTATGGACTGCCTTGGCATCCCGAATGAGCCCTGCTGCCATTGGTAGTCGTGGCGAGGTAAACAGTAGTGTCCCTGGACATCTCTGACTTCAAGCTTTTTTTCCTTAAGGCTTTAGGCGATATGCAGTCCGTTTTGCAAGGAATGCTACGGCTACAACAGGAAGTTCACGCCAGAGTTGGATGGGCATGCCGGCGGTGCCGTCAAGGTGACCTCCGAGGAGGAATGTCAGAAACGTTGCTTTGAAACCGTGGGTTGTGGGCACTGGGCTACTTGGCTCAAGTCTGATCGCAGCGAGTCTATCACGCTTGTGTCGCATGTTGCTTCTCGCGGCCTCTGCATCTAAGATCCTTTGGTGGGATATGCACTGCCACCTTGCAGGCAAACACTTGCTGGTTCCCTGCTGTTGATCATGGATCACACTGTTGCAGTGGTCCACTTGTTACTGGTCAGATACTCCTCACCCGAGCCACGTGCGGCATTCTCAGGAGCAGATGCATCGATGAGCTACGAGCCCGGCACGGTTAGCGGGCCGTCACAGTGCGCCCAGGTGGTGAGTGTCGTGACCTAGAAAGCATGCGCGAGTCCACCGGGTGGAGGACTTGCCCGTAAGTTGGGCCAGAGCTGTCACAGCCAGTTTTTTCACCGGTAGAGGGTCTGATCCGTAGTTTTGGCAAGGGCTGGCTCGTTGCATCTTTGAGCTACGAATTCGGCAACTTGTCTGAGCCCCACTGACGATGAGGCTTTGGCCGAATGCACATTGACGTCCACTCGTGGGGCGCATGCGGCGGTCAGGGTTACAGTCACAACGAAGAAGAGTGGCTCAGGCAAGTTTGCATTGGCATAGGCCAGACGAGAAGACAGAGAGTCATAGCTTGGCTGCTCCTAGCTTAGTAAGATCATATTCATCCATCTCCCCATTCTCCTGCACGGCTCCTGACTGGAGCACCTAGCCAGAGCAAAGAGCGATGGTTGGTCAGATTCAGAAGTTCTTGCAGGAGGAGAATTCGCTTGCAATTCGGGCCCACGGACGGCCACATGTCAAACCCATTGGGTGCGGCATTTCAGGGTGCCTCAGAGTGGCTGCTGGCCACAAGCCAAGGGCCTCGGGGCCTTGAAGCGCGAAAGTCAGGCTGCTTTTCAGCTTCATTTCCCCGGTCTCACCTTCGATAAGAGTTTGACGCTTCTTTGCGCTGCACTGCACCGACACCTGCTGGCAAGGCTTGCTTTCGGGGCATACGGCATACGGAGTGTCGAAGGGTTCCGGCCAGACGCCATGCACTCAACAGGTGATGTCAGCAGACACCATGTTTAAGTCGATTATCGGCAGCACTCGGCAAACAGATTGAGATGCCTCTCCCTACAGCAGGCTTTTTGTGCAGTCGGCAGTAAAGAAGTTCGGCGACATCCCGCACGTTCGAAGAAAGACGCACGGCCTCAAGCCAGCCCAATTCCACCTTCGATGCATGCAGCAGCAGCCATGCTGGGAGAGTTGGGCACAGATTGTTTGCGGAAGCTGCTGCACAAACGGATGCATCGGCTGGATGCGGATCTTGCCTTGCTCAGGATGGGATTCCATGAAGAAAGGTAGAGTCGCAGAATCGCAGGTCAAGGGGTGTTACATAAAGATGACGTCGTAGCCGATCTATGGCCATGTCAGCAAGCCAGCGAGCAACAACTGGAGCGTGTCAATGGCAGCGGCATCAGCAGCGGCAGCAACAGCAAAAAGACAAGCAGCCGCTTGTAGCACTTCCTGGGCCTCGGCCTGTGTGGTTTTGCAACCATGGAGTCTGAGTCCTGCCCCACTGAATCGGACTCGGACACGGTGACGAACAAATGGAAGCTCGGACGTCAAGACCGACTGCCGATGTCGTAGCCAGTTGCTTGCTTTGTTTGACATCCAAGGGCGATTGACTCGCAGGACGAGGGCGAGGGCTAGCGACACGCTTTGGAACAGGGTTTCGTGTGTGCATTGCCTTCCAGGACAGTGATTTGAAGGAACTGGAGGGTCACAATGGAGTCCGGTGCTGACAGGTTGCCACGCAAAGGTGCTAGAAGCTGCAGCCGCGACGAGCCTGAGGTTTGGCTGACTGCCGGCATCATTGTGGCCGATGTCGTTGGTGCGGGTATTTTGGCCATGCCCCTGGTGCCGGGCCAAGAAACTTCATATCGTGAAAGGCACCTTGCTGTTGCTGGCTTTTTCTTGCTCGTCCCCGTCCCTTTCTTGGCTGTGCCGTGCCGTGCCCGTTTTCTCCCCGTTTCGAGGCCATGGCCAAGCTGGGGCTTGTGCCTGGAACGATCACGCAGTGCCCTCAGAATTTCTGTGGTGCTGTCAGCTTGTTCCTGATGTCTGCACGAACCCGCATTTGGACTCGATTGTGTTGCATCCGAGCTTCGTAGAAGAGTAGACGTGTGCTGCATGACGGGGGTAAGGTGCAGGTGCATCGTTGGTGAAGAAAGTTGTCGTCGAAAATGATAGTGACTGATCGTAAGACCATAAAAAAGCAAGAGAGGCGTTTTGGTGCTGTAGTTTCGGTATGAGTGCGCTGTTCGACTGAGTCTCGTGGTGTTGCTGCTTGCGAATGTCCACATCTCCATCCTGATGTGGCGTGTCAGGACCGGCAGAACAACTGCACCTAATAAAGACCTAGTGAGGCAGCCTTTTCCTTTTTGTTGGTGGGTCTTGCTAGCTATCTTTCAGTCTATGTGTCTATGTGTGTGTCTATGTATACGTAGACATTTGCATGACGGGTGCATGTATTTATGCGGCATTTCTGAGTGCATGCAAGTTTTCAGATGTTCACGCTTGTGTTTGTCCAGCCCCTGGCATTTTTCTCTGAAGCTACAGATTCGGCTGTCGCAACAACTTCGTGCATGTGCTGCGCTTAAGTAGAATTGATTTGCGGCAGGATGTTCTGCCCGACATGCATCGGCTCCGTGACTTTCACTGCTACCTGTCATGCACCGAAGCCCCAAATGAGGATCGTGTCAGCACTTGCTACAGTGCTACAGCACCATCCACCACCAGCACCGTTTTGGCAGCCCCCTGCAGTATTTAACGAGCTTGGACTGGGCCGGCCTGATTTCTGGGAGTGCGCCCAATCGAAGCACCTACGTCCGAGGAGTTGGTGCGGGACTGCTTCGCAGAAGCTCCCGCATGGCAGCGGCACCTGAAACTTGGCATCACCGGGCGCAGGGAATCCAGTCAGTGCGGCATCGGTCCTCGACCCTGTCTGAAGCGCAAGTGGCCTCAGGATGGTAATTCTCACCGCAATTTGCCAGAAAAGCTTCCTCTTTGGCCTACTTGCCGTCTACTTGATGAGCGGGGCCAAGGGCCTTGGCAGCCTAGCTGAAGAGCAAAGCATCCGAAGCTTTCTTTCGGCTACCGGCTGGACTGAGGCATGATCCTACACGAGGTCAAGCTCTGCTTGCCCGTGTGGGCAGTGCTGGCTGCTCTGCTGTGGCGTGTCGGCACAGTATGACGAGCAAGGAGTTGTGTCGCCATTGAACATTCTGAGTCTGCAGCCCGCAGAGCCTGGCACTCTCTGTCATTACCCCAATGGACTTGTTGCTTCTGCACAACGTGCCCTTGCTGAGGCTATTTCCGTTTGCGGGAACTGCTCGGCACATGGGCTCATGGCAGTCACTAGTGTGGGTGAATGTGATCACGCTTTGCGGGACCGTGATGTTGCCTGTCCGCACAGCTGCGCAGTTTCATCAGCTTCTCGGTGGATGGTGGCAGAAGCCCCTGCACCTTAGCAGCTTGAGGATCCCACTGGGATACTATGGCATCGCTGGCGTCAGTGGCATTCGCCTTCCAGGAAGCGAAGTCGAATTCTTCGTCGAACCAACGTGCAGACCTCGGATTCCGATGCCTCGGAGACATCGCATTGCTGAGCGGCTGAGCCCTGATCAGGTTTGAGGACATCTTGAGTGCTTTGTCCACTTTCACCTTCGGCATGACCTCGCAGTTCATGCTGATGGACGCCTGCATGAAGTTCTCATGGCTTTGCCTCCATGCACATCGCCTACCGCTGAAGATAAACTTCCAGTGATTTACGCACCGTATCTGCATGGCACATCGCATTGCATTGGGTGACATGCAGCTCTTTTGAGATGAGGCAGTACGTCAGTAGCACTTGTTCTTTGCAGGAGATTATATCTGAGATGAAAGTTCCTATGCAGTTGCCTCGAGCCTACGTGTTCTCCTCAGCTTCGGTGCCACTCGCCATGTTGATGCAGTCGACTTGCATTGAACCAAGGCAGGCATCTCCGCCCCCTTCCAGCTGTCCATGTTTGCCATCGCTGGGATCGGTGGCTACATGTTCATGGGCAGCAAGGCCTCGTCGGATGCACTCCGCACACAGAGCCATGTTGCAGTGTTCCTTTCCCGCTTTGGCGCCCTTGTTCAGGTCTCTGGCATGATGCCACGCGGCCGCATTTCGCCTCTTCGCCCGCCTCGGCCATAAACTTTCAGACAGATGACGAAGCTGCAGTAAGCCAGTGTTGCCGCATGTTGGACCATTGGTTCGATTACAGGGAGAGGGAGTTGGCGACCAGGGCAGACCTCCAGATGCAAATGCATCATGCACTGATACTAAGGAATGAGAACTTGCCCTTCGGCTTGCCATTTCAAATCGCAGCAGGACAGAGATCGATTGCTCTAGTGGCGTCGTAGGGGTCCTTCCGAAGCGCCTGACCCGGAGGATGCATGGCAGCCCACATGCTGATCTCCTACCTCATCAAAGGCCACAGGGGCTTTGATTTCTCTGTATTCGCCGTCGGCTTCTTAAGGCCATGCAGGCCGAAGCAAGCGTTGTCCTTCGAGAGCTCCAGTCCTGCTATACAGAGGAAATATTTTGACGAGCAGGGAAACGCGACCGTAGCCTGTTTTGAACCAAGAGTGAAGCGCCTGTCGTCACAGCCGAGAGGATGCTAGCCGTCATGGTCACTTCGAGATCTTGCGAAGAGGGCTCTTCTCACTAGTTGACGTCTGGATCCCGATGGTCCCGGAATGCCCTACATACATGTTGGCCATTCCCATCCATGGGTCATTTGTCTGTCGTGCCTGCCTTGGCTGTGGAGGCGTGGTCTTCTGCAAGTCCATTCACCGGCTTGTGGATCGAGAGTTCGCATCGGCAAGTGACACCAGAACACGCTCGTGGAAGCTTTGTCAGGATCAACGCGCGGTATGGCCAGTCATTTTGCTACCATATTCCCTCGCTGCGAATGAAATTGCCGACTGTTTGACAGAGCTGAGGATTGGTTGGATGCATCCTGGCATGAGAGCAAGTACAGTAGAATGAACTCTGCAGACTTTGGTCACTTCATGCTTGGTTTTGCGTGGGGACGTGGCAGGGAGACCAAAGCGTGCACCGTCGTTCGCAGCCCGTCCTACAAAGAAGACTACAGACCCAAGAACTGTCCCACAGCCATCTTCTGATGCGAAGATGCCACTGTTGATGTTTGACAGGTAGAAATTGAAGCTCCAGCATGTGCTCGTGATCGCAAAGCTCCTGCTTGTTTATTAGCTTTGGTCTGAAGCCTGTCAGTGGCCCAGGACCACGGTAGTGTTGGTGCTTTGCATCTGCTGGCTTTTGGCAAACCTGGTGCCCTTCTTCTCTGATGCCGTGGACCTGCTGGGTGCCTCTGTGACACCGCCACCCGGGCTCTATATCAGAGCGCCTTTGTTTCCGAGATGCAGACGTTCGCATCGCCTGCCTGAGGATCTCCTGCTGGCTGATACCGACAGCTCTCTACATCAGGCCTGCTGGGGCTAATGAGGCGAGTCAAAACCTCGCGGTCGTGCTTTGCGGTTGCAAATGGCTCTCGCCGCATAAGGTTCTACTGGGATTATCCACACTTGCGGTCGTCAGGCGGGCGTCGAACGTTTCAGTGCCGTCGGCAGGAGGCATAGCATCCATGCAGCCTCAGGTCACCCCTGGTTAACCATCCTGGAGTGGATTGTCATAGGCCACAATGCGGGTTGCATGCTCGGCATGCTCGCACCGCTCGGTGACATGTGCTGGAAAAGTGGTGTTGTGTGGCTCAGGAAGGATATTTTACATCATCTCGATTTTAGATGTTGAATTTTGCCGAAATTGACACTCCTGGCAGCTCGGGTAGCCCCCTTAACCGCGCTATCCGCTAACCCTGCTGCTGTACAAGCCCTCGACCCGCTTGGCGCAGTTGAAATGCATGCTGCATGCCTGTGAGCTATCGGAGCTGATATTGCGTTGGCTGTTGAGAAGACACGGCCTCCGACAACAAGACGAAAGAAGCAATGCGACTGCTGTTGCTGTTGTCATTCCGCACCTGCAGGTGCCGAAATAGCCATGGCACTGATTCTGACTTTCTTTGGGACAGCAGCCGCTGTGGACAAAATTGTGCAGGACCGCTGTGGATTTGAGTTATGTTATCATGACATGTCGAAGGTGGTTGAGTGGCACACATATCCCTATTTGGTGGTTGACTGCCGGGTGTTTTCACACGAGAAGCTGATAGGATTGGCACACCTTCGGCTTGCCCTTCAGCTGCCACTGCCAAGGCGAGATCCGTTGTTCACAGCATGTCGCACGTCATCGCGCGTCAGCGTCGATTACGCACGCAACAGTTGGAGCTTGTGAAGGTCTCTGGAGCACTTGTGCATGCTCAGCAGATCATGTTGGGATGCTTCGCTGCAAAGAGTTTTCAGCTGCGGTGGGCATCTTGCGGGGAGATTATCGAGCTGGTGCAAGAGCAGATTTTGTTGAGCCGTGCCTTTTTTCCTCGTGTCCTCAGCAGCCAGGATGACAGATGTCTGCAGCGCGTGAGGGATATGTGGCTGAATGCATTTTCTGAGCCACTGGGCTTGGGATGCGACAGTGTGGGACGTGGGAGCTGCAGCTCCTGATTTCAGGTCGCATCCAATGTGTGAGAACTATGTCTCCTGCGGTGGGAGATGGTGAAGTCATGAGTTCTGTAGAGTCTGCTTAATTTGCGAGGCTGCACGTTTTCCTGATGTCACAGCCGTTTCGTTTTCCGCGATGTCTGAGCCTCTGAGCCTCTCTCGCAGCCAAAGTGAGGCTAACACGGACAACAAGACACTGCGGGCCGGAAGCAGGAATCGCCAAATTCACAAGCTTTGCATCGGCCGGCAGTGCAGTCTGAGGCAAACAGCCCCAGAATGCATGGAGGGCTTGTGCGCAGACGCAAGCAGATCATTCGTTTTCGGACTGACTGGCAGCCTTTATTGGAAGCCGCCGTGGCTTAGCGGTCTCGCCAAGAGCAAGACGCCCAGACTCTTCTGACTCTTCTCCCGTGCGCTCGGTTTTCAAGCTGCTCGCTTGAAGCAGAGCGCCACTGGCTGCTTTGATTTGTGGAGTGTTGCTTAGATCAAAGGGAGTGCAGTAGTCCAAGTTATGGAGTTGCACGGTTCGTGGAGTCGGGTTCTAAACGCCGTCAGGCCGAAGCTGGGCTTCCGGAGGTACATGGAGCGACGAATAAGATAGGAGCACACTGGGGTGCGTGTTTATTGCTAAGCATGGCAGGTGTGGTTTTATTCAGGTTCAGTCAGGGCTGGCAGTGTGTGTGTGTGTGGTACGTTTGCCGTGAGCATTTTCAACAGCGTTAGCTGCTTAAGCCGCACCATGTAAGCGACAGCCCAAGCAGCAGCAGACCGCAACTGGAATTCCGAGGCCATGTGCTTTGGATGCATGCAGCAGAACTCAACTGCCCAGCAATGTGCGGACAGGCATTCGAAGTCCCTAAGCGGGCCCTAGTTTGCATAGTCTCCACCAAGCGTGAGCCTACCATTGGCCATGCTTTGGCAGCTGCTTCTGCTGCCCGCGGCCTTGGCGGTGCCGCCTGCAGGTCCGCATGTTAGTTTCAGCTCGCTGGAGGAGTGCACCGCCGACCCTTGGAGCTATCCACGGCGTTTCTGCTTTGCTGGAGAAGCCCCTGTCAGACGGTGACAGAGGGGTTGTCTTGGCAAGCTGAGGAGTATGAGCGAGTTGCTGCCCAGTTCCACCATGCAGAGCATCGAGCACAGAGTGCCGCAGAAGGCACCTGTGCTTGGCTATGTGCTGGCATGCGCAAAGAGGGGGTCTTGGGCCAGTCAGTCCTTCATTGATGCAGCTGGCGACCGCCTACTCAACGTTCGCGGAGCAAAGTCCCAGCCTTTATCGATATTGGCAGGCGATCTGTTGCCGGTCGGCAGTGATGGTTTCTACAAGGCGGGATGTGAAGCCCAAGCCACGGGGCCCAAGACAAGGGCGTTCTGTGAAAACTGTCCTCCATCTGCTCTTGTTTAGAGAAGATGGTTGGAAGCTTGCCGACGGACTCCTCAAAGCCCTACCCTTCCAGAGACATGTAGTTGTTCCAGGTGGAAGAAAAGACCCAAGTCATGTTTGTGAAGACGTGTGTGCTTCGCTCCGCCACGTGTGCAAGGCTTGCCTGCTAGCCTTGACTTGCGTCGTTGGTGCCGCCTTAGCAGCGGGCCTGACGATGGGACACTTGACTCGCAAAGCGAAGTCGCCATACCGCCCAGTCGCGGCAGTTGGGGCAGTCGGGGCCGTTAGAAGTAGCCAAGGACTGGTCTCAATCGACCCGATGGAGATGGAGATCATCGTGAAGACAGAAGACAAGGCCGGACAAGTCTTGCACAACCTCCAGGGCGGCCTCAAATCTGTGGCAGGATATCATGGAAGCTTCAGCCAAGGCGAAGCTGAAGAAGGACAGGCCATGATAGACTGGCACATGGTATGCAGCAGCGATTGCGGTCTTGCGCTGCTGTGAAGGGCAGCAAGCTTTTGAGACAAAAGTCCCCAACGAGTAATCTTCATATTCAAGGACCAGGCTGCCGCTGAGAAGATTCTGCCGCTGATCCACGACCATCACCTGTTGCTGGTCCGCGACCCGTGGTATGGTGAAGTTCTTCCACTTGTCTAGGATGTGCGATTGCTGCTCTGGTCTTCACAGGTCACCTTGCTCTTAATGAACTCGATTGCGAACGAAGCTCTTCCGCTGTTTCTGGATCAGATCGTGCCGTACGATGCCCAGAGATGCTCTATCTCCACAAAGTTGCAGGTTGCGCATGTTTAAGGTCTTGGTTGGCTGTGGTGCTCTCTGTTTCCTTGGTGCTGATGCCACCGGCCTGAAGTTGAGATTAGTGATGCGGGTGTGGCTGACGAGCCGGGATTCTTAGAACTCATGGCGCTTTCGACTTTCGACTCTTTCGACCGTGGCAGGTTTGGCGAAATCATCCCCTCGGCGGTTTTCACCGGCAGCGAGCAGCTGAGCATGGCCGCAGCCCTTCTGCATCTGGTCGCCTCTTCGCTTTTTTTTGGCGTCCGAAGCCGACCGAAACTCAAAGTCAGGCTCGCTTCTCAGGGCTGGTGAGTGCCCTGGCGAAGTCTGCATCGGAGCTTGCAGGGGTTCTGGTAAGGTGGAGGCTTCGAAGACCCATCATGACTCATCCAAGGCGCCTTCATGTTTCTGCTCACTCCGGTGGCATGGCCCATTGCTAAACTGCTAGGGCCCAAGACGTCGCAAGGGTTCTCGACTGCACAGACTTTGCTTCACTCAACTGCTTGCGATGCGAAGGCTTGACCATGTTCTCGGAGCAGACCACAAGGGACGGTACAACTTCGCCACCTCGCTTGATTTTAGCTCCTGCAAATGCCTGGACTGCAGTCTGGGTGTTCCTCCGCATCTCCTTACACATGTGGCTTGATGAAATGGCCGAACTGCCCGGCAGACTCTCTGCAGGCTGTCGTGTGCAGCATCGCTGGCTTTGTTTGGGTAATAACCCCAGGCCCCAATCCCCAAAGCCTGGTGAATGTGAGAGAATGTGATTCAGAATGTCATAATGCTCCGGTGTCCCAGGCCGAGCTACGTGCGATCGTTTCGATGCACGCGGGGCTTCGAGTGGGCACCGAGGAGGAGGACCAGGCCCCGAGCCCGCCGAGCCCCGACGCGATCTTCCGACGCCGAAAGAAAAGTACTCGAGTTTGTGTGGTCTGTGCAGCTGTGCAGGCCGTTTTCATGAGCCACGACGAGAAGGGCTTGGGAATCGTTTGCACTGCGCAGCCGCATCCCTTCAACAGCGAGAGTGCAGCAGCCCCCTTACAAACCTTGCGGCTGTCTCAAAAATCTCGATGTCATGCAGTATGCTGGCGTAGACTGAACAGGTGATTTTCACCGAGACCTCTGAGTTCCCTGCCAAGTCAACGAAACTTCAGGCAAGGAGGGAATCTTAAGGTTTTGACTGGTGTCGAGCCTGGGGAAGCATGCACGCTGTCGGCAGGTTGGCCAGGTGTACTACACCTTGCCCTGCTCACCCACACACCTGGAAGGTTCCGACACAGGCAGCTCAAGTAGATGCGTCGTAGACCAGTGGTGAAAGGGGCTCGAGGGTGGAGCTGTGCAACGTACCCTATCTGGGCAGGGCATGACATGGCTTTCCAGCTGTACAAGACGAGAGACAGGAGTCGGGAGGACTTGATTCTTGGCATAGACCAACATGGCAGACGTCCGCTCATGAGGATAAGCCTATGACTGAGGATTACATTTTTGCCCGGAGAGCTCACATCGGGTGTCTTCCGGCTACAAGAGAGAGATGAGACGGCGGCTTAGCATCTGTAGTTCGTGTTTGGCTGCCGGCAACTGTTCCTGCGCTTCTGATGAGTGCGAGGATAAAAATCATGCATGGCGTCATGAATATGACGCACATGACTGCAGAGGAGGTGTCGTCCTTGTTTATCGTGTGTCGGGCAGACCTTTGGACACGCTGGGCCATTCGCAATGTCTGCGACCCCCAGCCACACCTAAGGCCATGACTCCACTCAGTCAGGCTCACATGTGCTGCGCTCAGGTTCCAATTCAGGAGTTATGTTGACGTTGCTCGACGGTTGCTGTCATCGATGCGTTTGAGATAGTTTCGGGTCCGGCCTATCACCTCACAGGTTGGATGCGGACTCGCTTATCACGCACGACTCTCTTCGGGAGCGAAGAGTATGTCCCGTCAGTATCTGCTCTGGCGCAGAAACAGTTGCAGAGATCAGGAGATGGACAACTTCGGCCACTCTCGAGTCCCAGTGTATGCTAGGCCAGGCTCATCTGCTACAAGACTGTGCGCTGCGATGTGTTGCAATAAGTAATACCGTAATACCAATACCAGTGATTGCGGCGGCCTCCCGCATGGTGTCCTCGGGTGCAAGGAGTCCCCATGATGTACGTGGGTTTATTCTGGTCAAAAGGCTAATCGCCCCTCGGCAAAATGCAAAGATGCCGTCCCTTAGCTTCACTGAACAGTCGCCCTGGCTCGCCGGGAGGTTCTTCTACCAGATCAGCTGAATGGCTCGCTGTAGCTTGGCTCCCATAGAATGATGCAGAGGTTAGGCCAGTCAAGGAGAGACAATCTACACTAGGACTTGGCTCGAATCCGGCATTTTGAGGAAATTTGGGGACCTTCATCTGCTCAAGATGACTGTGGTGCCGGGGAACATGCTCATGCTGCTTGGCTTTTTGCTCCAGCTTCCGTGGTCGGCAGCATCCAACTTTGGCCATGGTGCCAGGTTGGACCTCCTGAACAAGTTTCAGGCTGGGAGTTTCTCTGCGGCTGCGCTGAGGCTCAGAGGCTCAGCCGCCTTGTCGCTCAGGAGGAGAAGTGTCACCTGGGGCTGGTCACCAGCAATCCGGAGGTGTGTAGACTGGTCCAAGAGAAACAAACACTGCTGGCTTGCCTTGGACCAAGGCAGTTCAAGAGGCTTGGCAGACAGGGACGCCCATCCCTCCAGCACCTTGGCAAGAGTCTGCCGTTAGAGTCTGCCTTTCACGTCCGACTTTGGCCTGAACTTGCTTATTTCCCAAGGATGTCCACATGAAGGGCATCATCACCCTGGAAGATGTTATTGAAAAGCTCATCCAGGTTGGTCGGTGGGCCAGGACGACAAATTTCAGCAATCCCATTGTTGGCTGCCTTGCGAAGGAGAACATCGAAGACGAGAGCGACCGTGTTGAGCGCACAGCAACCATGCGCAGCCGCGGGCCCAAGCGATTCTTTTGGGATGTTCTGGGAAGATACCGGTGGCACCGCTTTCACGAGGTCTCAGATCTGCCATGAACAGTTCCGGCAGCAGCGGCCCTGCAGAGAGCAGAGGAGAGCTCGCGACGCCTTGCTTTCGAGGCTCGCCTCGGATCCCTTCGCAGCCTGCACCAGCGGTGTCGAGCCCCAACTCCCTACGGGTGGCTGGCTCAGCGGCGCGAGAAGTGCCCAGCCGTTCAGCCGCAAGTGCAGTCTGCAGGCCCCCTTGCTCGCAAAGAAGACGGCAAAGGACAGTCTGCTGCCGCAAAGCTTTGCTTCATGCGCTATTCTGCAGCATTCGCATGCTTTCTGTTCGCTGGGCTGGTAAGGACAAGCTGGAAGTTCCGCACCGGCCCCAGCAGGTCTTTGATGCAATTCCGGAGGGTAAAGGGTTTTCGGCGACATGTCTCGGCGCTAAATCTATGATGTGGGAAAACAGCACCGAGGTACGATGCAACTGGCCAGGTGTGATCAACTTTGGGATTCGTTTTTGCTTCGGTCGACCTCGAAACGAGGCACAGGGAGCATGGTGGCTGTTTTGGCAAGTGCAATTCAGCTGCCCATTGGTTCTTATCGATTTTTCCATCTTCCCCAAGTTCCTAAAGCTGAGCTTCTGGTGTGCGCCCACAGTGGTGCAGGAAGCAGACAATGCGCTGCACTAGCAACTGGAAGATGTAAGACTGCATGATCAAGAAAAGACCCAGCAAGAGCAGAGCAAGAAGAGTGAGCAGACGAGAGCCGTGCACACTGCCAACACTCAGTTCACTGAATGGCCGGTGGTACCTCCAAGGGAGTGCAGTTCCAGTTCCGATTCTTGAACGCTAGCAAAAGCTGCTCTCCCATTCCACTACTCAGACCTCTCAATTAGTTCTACAGATCCCAGGCCCAAATTGACTGTTTGACTCCCTCCTTGGATTTTTTGTTCCACACTGCCATGCTGTCTCCGGCTTTTGCGTCGGGGCACTCCGTGCTGACGGTGCCGAAGTCGCGGCGCGTTGGTGAGACTCTCGGATATGCGCAGAGGGACCGGATCGTCTCGAGATTGCTAGGCGGTAGCGTTTGGCGTGGAGAAGGATTGCGCAAGAATCACAGAAAGCGTCGAATGTTCCTGCATTTAGGTTTTACTACGAGGAGCACAGTGAGCACAGCTACAGGGCCATCGCAATCAGGCGGAAGAAACGAAGCCACGCAAAACCAGTGCTGGAGCTTGAGCTGCTGCTGGTCAGGCGGTTTTGCATGGGCAGCTCTTGGGATGTGCCTTGCCTCCGGACGAAAGCAGGCGGGTGCCGCCGGTGCCTGCAAACTTGAACACTTTGCATCTCGCATTGGCCAGTGCTGTCCTTTCACCAGGTTGGCCTGCGTGGAGGGTCTTCAACACTGAGACCTGCGATTGCCCATGTTCTGGGCGTCCAAGCACCGGCAGCTTTTTGGGACCCACTGGAACTCTCAGCTGACGGTGATGTGGCGCTTTTCAAAAGCCGAAAGGCTGCGTCTGTAGTACATGGCAGGATGTGCATGGTCGCATGTGCTTACGAGCTCGGCTGCCAGCACTTCTCCCAGAGCTTTGTGGCCTGGGCAGACATGCCAGGTGCACTGCAGACATGTACGGCTGAGTTCCTTGCCTTGTGCGAGCTTTTCTCCCACAAGTTTGGTTGGCACCGGAGGACCCAACCAGTAAAATCCAAGTCCCCGAAGTCCGACCTAATTGCAGGTCGACTGGCTATGGTGGCAGTCTCTAGCCTCTGTTGTCAGGAAGCACTGGCTGACACTCTTGTCTGCTTGGATCTGTGGACAGAGCCCACGGTCTGATGTGAGATCTGAGCGTGTGGCCATGACTTTTTCACCTCTTATGCTCGCTCGTGACGAGCGCCGTTTCATTCCAAACTTTTCCAGATTGAGTGTTGAGCTCAGTGCGTTTCAAGACTATGGTGTAATCTTTGCAGACAGTATCGAGACGAAGGCAGCATAAAAGCCTCCTACTAGAGGGAGGTCAACATTCGAACTCTGGCACTGTAGCTGCTGGTCGAGTATCGCGCCAGATGCAGAGTTCGTTTTGGAAAGCACTGCAGACGTCCTCATGAGGAGAAAACAGGAGCTCGTCGGCTTCTCTAGTTGGTCTACTTGCTCCTCGCTGGGGTGCACCCCGATGGTGCATACTTTTGGTCCGACTTCCCCTTGGGTCATTTGCAGTCGTCCCTGCCTCGCATGTCACACGGGCCAGCACCCTGAAAACACAAGAATGCAGCCTTCTTCCAGCCGAAAATTGCAGCTCACGGACTGTGCAATTAGACTGGCAGAAAATAGGAGCTTGTGCGTTTTCACCAAAGGTCGACCGCGAGATCGCCCAGCTCCTCTCCACGACCCCCTGGCTGCGGAGGAGCCGATTGAAAACAGAGCGGAGTGGAAGCAGAGCGGAGAGCGGAGAGATGCGGATAGCGCTCGCAGGAGCGACTTTGACTCGATGGTCCGGTGCGGCGGCTGAAGCGCGGGAGCTTTCGCTGCATGCCTCGTCGGCGCTGTCCTGCAGGCAGCACCTCCATGCTTTCCATGGCCTGGGCGGTGCGCTCCAGGCCGAGGCTACTCAGGCGACAAACTCGGAAAGGTCGAGGCGCTTCTCAGAAGTTTTGCACAGGTCCGAGCGGCTTTGGCCGAGGCCAGCCTTTCTCGGGGGGGAAACCGAGGCAACGTGCCCACGGCCCACATCACAGACCATGCTCTGGAACAACTCGTCCAACTGTAGGCTCTTTTTCGGGGCAGGTGGTTTCCGGGGCCAGATGCTGTCGTTTCATGTGTGTGGCACCATCCCATGCGGCGAGACATGAGGCTCGGTTATTCAATCATGCATACTTCACAAACTTCACAATGCTAAAGTAGGAAATGAGTCGTGAGAGAGGTGGGGCTTCGAAGCCAGTCGCCTTCTAGGCGTCAGGTCAGACAGCAGGGCTCGACACGGACTTCCTTCTCCGAACTGCATGCCATGCATGCCGTTGCCGCTTGAGATGTTGCTTCATGATCGCGTTCTTTGAGCTGCTCTGTTGCAGGGATAAACCTGCGGTTGCACCCCTGATGCTTGACTCCCCGCCATCGTAGCTCAGGCTGGAATGCTCCTGCACAGCGCCAGAAGAGGTGCAAGCTTCTTTGAGTTCTCTTGATGCCCGGCCTTGTGCTCAACTCGCAGGTTGTCTTTTTAGTTGGCTCGGGCGCTGCCCTCGGCAGCTGGGATACATACCATTGCATCATCTTGGAGACCAGCCTGTGCCCGAGCTTCCGCCAAGGGACTGCCCAAACTTTCGTTGTGTCCCAGTCGTCAGGTCCAGAGAGATTTCCTTGGTGGTACACCACGGGCCCAGTGGTCATCGAAAGCATGCACGCAGACTTCCAGTTCGCCATCTCAGTGCCTCGTCTTCAGATGGGTGATCTATTTTCACAAACCCTCTTTGGGCTTCTGTGGGCACGATGAAGATGGTGTAAATTCCAGCCTGGTGTGCGCGATGCACATAGCAGCAGAGAGTATGTGCGCTGGCCATTTCAGCTGAGGATCGCTCTCTGAGCGTAGTGCGTTGGGAGGGCTTGCCGTACCATCGGCGCCTGCAGTGTCGGCATCCAAGAAGCAAGGACGGGTGTACCTCAAGCTCGTAGGGATGATTGGGGTGTAGTGTGTTAATCGGACAGGATGGCCAGCAGATGGAGATGGTCTTTCGAGCGAGCTGGGAGGACCTATCAAAGCTTCTCTTGTGGTCATGAATACCACATTGGAAACCTTTCATGCCGATATCGTCGGAGCCTTATCCGTATATAGTCGAGACTCCAGATGCCATCGCCCCAGACATCAACATGTGAAAGCCATCGACGCAGGTCATCAGATTCACCTGCACACAGCAGCAGCAACAAGCCGCCCGCCTTTTCCTCAAACTGAGTACACCGGCAAATTTCACTGCAGGTATCTGGCAAAGGCCCCAAACAGTGAACGGACCACTGACAGACTCACGGGACTTCAGCGAGAATTCGATTGAGTCGGAATGTAGTGTGGAACCGCCGCCTCGGATTGTGACTAGCTCAACCGATCTACTTCGGTCGAATCTTTCGAAGCCTGCCTTGTGCGACAGAGCGCATCGACCATCGGATGCGCGTGGCCACCCTCAAAAGCTTCTCTTTTCGGTGTGTGTCGTGTCTTCACTTCGGAAGGATCCGAAAAGCACTGTGACGATCCGTCCGTCGAAGCTGCCATTTCTGGAGGCGGAGTCGATGCTGGCTGCTGGCTATGTGAGACTGTTCGGAAGCTTCGGGCCGTCACTTAGACATTCGGGTTTCCCATGCAGGCTCGACCCGTGCCCGGCGCTTGCGAAAGGCGGGCAGATGTGCCGAGTGCACACCCTGGCCAGCGGCAGGCTCGTGCCAAGTGCCTTGGCTGTGACAGATCTCCATGTCTGTTTTGCGTATTTGTGTATGAGCTGAATCGCGAGGTCACGAGTGACGACAGACGAAGCTTTTGCTTCTCAGGGGGGTGCTTACACAGACTCTGATCTGGACGTCGTCGATGATGCTGGTCGTTTGCCAGAGGGCAGGACTGTAAACAATGTACGAGGCGAGCGTTCTCAACGAGGCACTCTGGAAGCTTTCCGACCCGGGACTAGACATGCCCGGCCTCGTGACGGTCCCATGGCGGGTGACCTTGCGGCAGCCCCGCTTGCTGCAGCAAGACAGATTGCAGATGACCCAGCAGACGTGCAAACGCAGTGGCGAATGACGAGCTCATCGATGCCATCCAGAGATTACTCGGCAGATGATGCGGCACGACACCGAAGTGAAGGAGCCTCCTTCGCCCCTGTATCCAGCAGGCAACCGGTGTCCGGCACCTCGAGTTCACTGCCATCAGGGCGAGATTTGGTCACCGCGGGCCGAGGCACAAGCATCCAGCAGAGTCAGGGCAGTGCCAGCCATGGGCAAAGCCTTCAACCTGGCCTGCTTTCGCCGGGTGTTTCCAGGCCGGGTGTTTCCATGGCCTCTGCGCCTCCTGCTGAGGCTGGACAGGAGAGTAGACTTACGCGAGATGCCGCCATCAGATCCTCAGAGGGCTTGCTGGCTCCTCCACCGCCAACGGCCAGGAACGTGAACAGGCTAAGGGAAGCGGCAAGTGGGCCGAGCAATCAGGCCACCAGGATGCAGCATGCAGCACGTGCCAGCGACGGGGGCACTGGGTCCTCTCCGCAGAGGACACGCATGAATCGAGCTGCAGATACCATCGATTCTCAGGAGAGTGCCGAGGCAGCTGCACCATCAGGCTGTGGCTGCGGTGTCTCGGCACCGCCTGCGACCATGCCGGTGCCTATCGCACCGATCGGCCGCGGCACAACTCAACACGGCAGCAGATTTGAATACAGTTCTTGGGAAGATGCACGTGCAGCGAATGGGGAGGCGGAATTCCTCGGCAACTCTGCACACTCCACTAGGGAGGCCATGGCCAACTCAGGTGCTTTTCAAGGTACGGCTGAAACATGGGAGCCGGCTCGGGGCAGCGCAGCGAATGTAGCACCGAACCGTGCAAAAGCTGGCGTGCGCCGTCCTGCAATAGTGCCACAGCCACCCTCTGCTGTTCTGGTGCACGGAGTTTTGGGGGATTCCGCAGGCAGAGGTTCCGAGCACAGAGACCCTGCCACACCACCGCCGACGGTAGCCGGCTCCACCGACCCTACACCAGCAGCGCTCAGGATACCACTAACCGAAGCTCCCGGCCAGGGCCAATGCCTCAGAGTCCAAGACTATAGTGACTACAGCACTCAAGCGACACCTGGAGGCGTGGAGCCAACGGAGCACAGAGCAGATGGCACTCGCCCTCAAGGGAGTCCTCAACCAGAAAGCCGTGCTGTGCCATCGTCGCCTCAGAGGAACAGATTAATCAACTCTCGGCAGAACCGCGGCGCTGTCGGCATCGCTGCCCGAAGTCAGGCAAGTGTTGAGACCAACCCCATTGTGGACTCGGACTTGCGGCAATCACTCTCAGGCACAGCCACTTCTGGCAACGCTGTTGTGATGGGTGACGTGTCACGAAACCCTGAGTACCGGCCAGATGACGTTGGATCTGAAAAAGATGTGGTGAGACATGTCGTGAATCTTCCGGGAGGAATCATGCCAGAAAGCCAGGGTTTGCGATCCCCGCTGCAGTCAACGAGGTTAGTGAACTCGACACAGAACCGCGCAGGTGTTGCTGGCGTTGCTGTTGGCAGTTTTGCAGGAGTTCCAGGCCCCATGCTGGCCAATCGTGCGATTGGCTCCAGTATGCCGGTGCCAGCTGTGCCCGAATCTGCAGACGACCCCACCGGCCTGGATGCAAGACTCGAGCAACACAGCCTTTCGGCCGTGGCGAGGACGGAACCTGACCAGGACACAGACTACCGGCCACATAACATTGGACCTGATCGTGTGGGCAATCTGGTGAACCTGTCGCGAAGAGGCACTACAGACAGCCGTGCTTTGCAAGCACCGCCGCAGCCAACAGGGCTGGTGAACTCTCCACAGAGGCGTTCCGGCATTGCTGCCCGCAGTCTCGCCAATGTTCAGCCGAATGCTCATGCAGAATTGCGGCCATCCGCCTCACCTCCTGCAATTTACGCTGTGGATGTTGGTGTTTTGGTCGATGATGTCGCATGGAGCTCTGCTGGAACAGACCTTGTGCCGGCCAATCCTTACCTCGCGGCACCGGGAGCGGTTGGCCGCGGCACTGCGCCCATACCTACAGACGACCCCAATGGCCAAGACGCAAAACTCCAGCAACACAGCTTTCCGGTAGTGGCGCGCACGGAGCCCGAGCGGAGCAAAGAGCATCAGCCAGGCGACCTTGGACTTGATCGACATGCCGATGATGCCGCAGCACCAGCACAGCGACGAGTCGCGAGGGCAACAGAGCCATCTCTTGGCGGGCAGCATGTAGGACGCGCCGACGGTGTCAAACGTCCAGACGGCCTTCGAAGCCCGGCACCGCCAGTGCAGAGTGCTGCCGCCTCTCTCCGCTTGAGCGCGGCCTCGGGCACTGCGGGCATTGCGGGCCCCACGGGCGCTTCGCCCGAGAGGCTTGGTTTGCGATCCAGTCTCCAGCGAAGCAGGTTAGCGAGCTCGCCGCAGAACCGCGGTGTTAGTGGTGCTACTCGCACGCCTGTGGTCAATCAGCCGAAGGCCTCTGTAGACTTGCAGCAACCAGCCTCTACGGCAGCCACGGTCGTCAGTGCAGCGAGTACCGGTCGCCATCAAGAACGCAGACGTCGCAGACGTTCTCCTGGGTCACCGGGGGACCCTGTCAGCCGCACTGTCAGTAGTGGAGCATCCAGCCACGCCGGCAACGCCATCGAGCGCCCGGGGACGAATTCGAGTTCTCCTGCATCTACTCCTGCTGCAGACGGTGGCTGCTTGGCATGGGCATGTTCGAGAGTAGCCGGAACTACATTAGAATTTTGTCGCTCAGAACATTCACCAACAAGACAGGCTCAAGTGCTGCATGTGAGCCGGAAAGCACATGGCTAATGACCTTGACGACTCAGGCTACCCCGTTGACGGCACGGAGGCCGGCTCACGAGCTTGTGTGGCAAAGCCAAGCGCCAAGACCTGGCGGTTGTGTTCGACTCAGGCTCCAAGGAGGTCGCCACCCGTCGCTTTCAGCTG